TGGATGGACACTTATTTTAGTCCAAACTACTCAAAGCTATGTCACTTAATACAGTGTAGATATAATTCTGTATAACTCTGAAAAAGTGCATTTTTTCTGGTTGACATGCATTGTAGCAGTTTAAAGATATCTGAAACTATACTGTAGTTGTATATATGACGGTTCATTTGTGTAAAATGTTCAGTTTTGTGCACCAACACGTCAACACTGCACAGATTCTCTAGGGGTTTCAAAAAGGCTTTATAGTCCGTATTGAACTTATTTACTGTAAAGATTGGCAGCCCCATGCAAAATAGTGCAACCTGAATGATGGCATCCCCCACGGCAACTTCCCTAATAAGATGAATAGGTGGTGTACAGTGTGTTCATAAAAGTTCTGGTATTTATACAAATGTAATAAATGTAATATGTTTCATTTGTAAGTGCAAGTATCTTAAAGCATGTCTTGATGTGACAAACCAAACCACAACTACTATCTCTTAAAGAAGACTTGTCTAAATAGTTATAATCTATGACACGTATAGATCATTACATTATAATTTGGACATTTTAAATTCAATAATAATAATTAAACAACGGGAGCTGGCATTGCAGTTTATGACTTCACAACACAGAGCTGTGCAGCTGTGAGCACCTCTGATGGATAGCTGCAGATCATGCTAGCCAGCCAAAAGTTTTCATTTCATTCATCTGTATCAAAATTACTACAACGCTTCCAAATTCTATGTGCATCACAGGGGAAAAAAAGTAAGAACAGTGGGCATTTTCTAGTGGCAGTGAAAATGTTATCTTGAAAATAATTGATTGAAGTTTGCTCACACATGCATGAATCAGTCCAAATACAACTTTGTCTAAGTAAATGCTGAGGGGAAACAACTATAAGATGGTTTAAAGCTCTAAAAACTCAGTTTTTCATCATAGGTCTGCTTTAACATTGCATAACAGGAGTGCTGTGATCAAACCTCCTTGCCTCAGCACAGCCCTCTATACATTTACATTATTTTGAAGCATAAGTGTTGATACGTGACAGAAGTAACATAGACCTGTCGCTACAACACCATAAATCCCATCACACCCAGTGCCCATGACGTCTGTCTGTTTAAACCTGCTTCAGTTTCAGTTTCTGATCTCATGGAATTACACACGCGCCTTTAAATGGCACATCCTCACCTCTGCCAAAACTCTGAGCTCCTCTTCAGCTTTCCCACAATCCTATGCTGTCACTGCCTCAGCTCAACGAAGCGCTGAGCTCTGATAAATATTTTGTTATACACCTATTTATAGTGCAAAAATCCACTGTAAGCTTGGATACACGTTGCTTCATATCCTCTGGTTGTCTTCTTAGGTTCATATAAAGTATGGGAGGCACATACTTTTCAGTGTTAAGCATTGGCTCTTATGGGAGATGCCAAGTACTGCCAAAACATGAAGCAGTCCAGCAATCCCACAATGCTTTGCTGTCAGTGCTTCGGTGAAACATTAATCTCAACAGTAATTAACATTTTCATACTTCTATTTTTACTTCAGACAAATCTGGATTAGTTATACTGAGCAATAAAGTAGTTCTGTATTTTGTCAGTAGATAAGGTTGGTGCTGTGGTGAGTGCTCATGTCCCACAGCAAGGACAGGCATGGAGCTTTATGTGTTCAGTTTGCATGTACTACAGTTCCTCCTCCGCAACCAGGACAGCCCTCAAAGTGAGATGATTAATGAGGCTGATTTTTACAGTCTTCAAAACGTGAAAACCAGGACTAGTTCATTTTAACTCCTCACTATGAGTTTTTATGCACTTTTTGCACTTTTCAACACTTTCAGAGACCAGAGAGTAAATAGTTCTGCCGTCATGGAATAGTTAACAAAGATTAGCATTCTAACATCTGATTCCTGAAGTTGAAAAGTGTTATTATTAGGGTTTAAATGAAGAAAGCACACAGCGGTCTCACTGAGACCTGAGACTATCTGTACTGTGGCAAGAAAAATTTTGCTAAAGTCCATGGAAACTGATACTACTTTAATCTCAGTGGGACTTTCCTGGTTAAATAATATTGCAATGCTATTTGAGATCTATTCTAGTTCCATTCTAATATTTCATAAACCAAACATATATTTGGCAAAATAATTTTATTTCTGAAAGCAATTTTAAAGAAAGTATCTACTCAAGTTATTGGCTAAGTTCTTGTTTTTGACCATGAGAACAGTATGAATATATTAGTAATATCACATAACAACAATATCTTGCTAAAATTATTTTTGCCACAATAAATAACAAACAATACAGCATAAAATTATCTACATGAAAAGGGGAGTTATCTTAACTTTTTAAATAAATGTCCACATATTATGTTCCATGGTGAAACTTACAGAACTCAAAGATTGTAAGTAAGCCTGAGGATATAGGTTTACAGTCTGTGCATCCTCTTGGCACTGGTTTGGGAGATACTCAGCAACTCATATCTGGGTCACTGTCACTATTCCTACAATGTAACAGCTAGTAATGCAATCAGTAAGAACATGCATTTATGTAGGAAAGTGAGATAGGATTATTTTAGTAACATATGTGGTCACCTTCATTACATGCAGTTTGCCATTCTATGTCAACAGCTTCATTTTGGCAAGGTAGGTGAGGTGTCTTGCCCAAGGACACAGCAACAGACTCTACTAAGGTTCATTAGCAACCACTGTACCACCACTGTTGTTCTTACCTGACAAGCCAGAACCACTGACGCATGGTCCGTTCGCATTACAAACAAACATGGCTGTTCACATGCATGTCATTTAAGACACACGTGAGGTTTTTCATACTCTGTTGTTTGATTCCAGACCCTTCTGAATTCAGTCAGAATGAAGAAGTAACTTGTTGGTTGGCAACTTTTTTTTTCCAAAATAATATCTAGTGGTGTAACATGAGGTAGGTCACAAACATCCATGCAGTAGTAGAATTTAATATTTTAGCTGAAACTTTATTTTGAGTGATAATATGCTACATCCTGATCTTTAAACCTTAAAGTTGCACTATGCAACTTCTCTAGTGTGGGTCTGCCACCAGCCACCTGCTTGTCTCCAGTGAAATGTTATTGGTTTGCCTGAAATATTCCACAGCATGGCTGTGGAATATCTGTCTATTGAGACAAGTCGGTGCTACCAGGCCAGTTTGCAGGTCATATCTGTGGAGAGCCGTGCCTGCTCACAGTAAGAATGCATGTTTTTCAAGGTATTTTTAGCATTAGAAATACCCACAATGAAATAAATACTACAGTTATGGCCATGCTGTGGACCATTTCCGGCAAAGCAATAACATCTTTAAGAGGGGGTATAAAGGAAAGTCAATGTTTTGGAGCTATTTACCATGTTCTAACATTGTTCCCTCAAAAAAAAAAACATGCCTGAAGAGGTTTTAGATGTCATGCATGCATGTTTGAGTAATATAGCAATCTCTCCTAGGCACTGTTCGAACCCTACTTACAGTTTGCAGTATAATGCTATCCAAAGCTTAGCCCACAAGCCTACATCACCAATGCTCCCACACTGTAATTCTTCATAAAAATACAGTAGAAGGATACAAAACAATCCACAAAAAATTCACAAACTTGATGTGATGTGCAGTAGATAGTAGTAGCGGGTTGCACACCGGTTGTATTGCACTCTGAAAGGTGAGTGACATAGCACAGGGAGCAAGAGGACTCAGACCATTGAAAAAAGAAACTGAAACATATTAATGTGCTATTTTCTGCAAATATAACATTTTCAAAACAATAAAAGGTAATGTAGTGATCTAAATATGTGTTAACAGTTAATACCCCATAAGTGTATCACCCCCTCATAAAAGTTACACAGTGCACCTTTAAACCTTTAAACCTCCTCTACCTGAAATAATAATTATATTTAATAAATTATATTATCTATAAAAATGTTCTTGTTTTGGTGTTGGTATTTTCTAGTTGATTATAGAACCTTATAATGTTACATTACATAACAACAACTTCTTCTGGGAAACCAACTTAACCTAGAAGGCTCCTGCTATCTACTATTAGACAGTATTCAAAGTAATTAGTTCACAGCTTGATTAAACATGGCCAACAGTCCTCAGACAGGTCACGTGTGTGAGAAGAATGCATTTCATTGCCTAAAATAGTCTTGTTTCTATCCCCTCTCCTCATTCATCATTGTTTAATTTCTGCCAAATCAGACTAAGGCATGCACTTGTACCCTCACCAGCCCCCCGGACTCCTCGCTAGATCTATATTTGTCCCCTTAATGAGGAAGGGGCATACCACAAAGCTCTCTGGGTAATGACTGTGTCTGGATCAGAGGCATCAAAAGCTTGGCAGGACAAACTCAGACTCTAGTGGTACATCCTGGTTCTTATAAGTGACATTCCAAACATGTTATGAAAGGTAAGAAACAAAAATATTACTAGATAAAGGGGTGGAAGATATATGGAAAATGTATATATTGATTTTATGGATTTGGAGATATGCAGATGTAAAAATAGAAGCCTAAAATGAGAATTCAATTGAGTGTAGTTGAAAGTAGTTGATTGCTGGACAGATACATTTACAGCAATACTATTATCAGTACTAGTAACTATTATTACCATTATGAAAAAAGTACTAAAATGTTGCTTAAACCTTAAGTGTTTCTGCAAATACTCGTAATGGTATCATGTGGTTACTAAAGTACATTTACTTGAGTAGCTTTTTTGATTAGTTTCTTACTTGAATGATATAATTTACAGTGTATCAGTAACGAGTAAATCTATACTTCACAAAAGCTTTATGATGTATTGACAATAATAAAGTATTCAAACTTGCACCATTCCTTCAGATATGATTTACTTTTTCTTATTTTGTGGTTCCTGAAAATATTGTTATTGGTTGGCCTGAAACAAACAGGTGATGCTTCCAAGCCGAGTTACAGGTCAGATCTGTAGAGAGACGAGCCCAGTCACACTTTAAGAATGTATTTTTTCAAGATATATATACATTTCTTTGTGATAAAACACAGCATTAATGCCATACTATGGAACACTGTGGACCCACATCAGAAAAGTGTTTGTCCATCCAATTTCATTAGCTCTATCCAATTACATTACACCCAGACAGTCAATTACTCTCCTCCCCAAATACTCTTACCCTTATTTGAGTTATCTCTTGAACTACTACTTTGTACTTGAGTCATATTATTTTGAACTAACTCTACAGACTTACTTTGAGTACAATTTATGGCCATTTTCCCTCTGACAATAGCAGTGCAGATGACATTATAGTGGTTGTACCATGGAGGGGGGTGGTGGTTTGAGACATCGCCACAGCAGAGCAGCGTCCCAGGCCGTGCTTTGGAGTGTTTAGGCTGTCCCGTCCTGCCGCCATTACCACTGTGTCTAATGAGGATTCACACAGCTGTCGGCTCTGAGCTGATCCCTGCAACAGCTGAAACCCAAAGCATCGGTCAGGACCAGCTAAAGAGATGTACTTTATACTGTCTTCTACTATAGTGTGCAGTAACTATAATCTTATATTATCTAAAGTCATGCAAGTGTTGGTGGTAGTAGTAGTAGCAGTTGAAAAGTTCTGCGTATTTAAAAGAAAAAAAAGTGAATTTGTTAAAAACAGTAAGCTCTATTTAAAAAGTAATTGGAAGCATGGAGTTTACTCTTTATGTAGTAATGTTTTCATAAGCTAAATAAATGTAACTACAAAATATTGTTCCATCCCATCTTGATAAAATTCTCTCAGTGTTATTAATAAAAACAAAATGTTAATATTTGGTTTTGCAATACTACACTGTAAAGTTTGTCCTAAATTTATCATATAAGGTGCTGAAAATTAAAAAAAAGTTCATATTTATGCACTTACTGTCAATTTTTGTATAATTTTTGTGATACATTTCTGATTGCCATAATATTGTCTGATTAGTGTAATTTGTATAATAAAATGTTTAAAAAGTAGACATATTCATTTTATCTTTATCACCCATCCCTAATTGACTGTTGTAAGCTTGTTGTTCCTGAGAGCCTGAGATGTTCTTTTGTTGTGTTTAGTGGGACAGCTGCCCAGAGCATGAAGACATGAGTCCAGACATGAGCTCCCCATTTGAACAGTGGTGTGACGAGAGACAAGAATCCTAAATGAGAGGAGGCCTACCCCGGGACACGCACAGCCCATGGTCCACTGGGATCTTCAGGACACGACTGGTTTGGGTCATCAAAGTGGGGAGGCTGCAGGGGCAATGAATTTCTGATGTGGGTTGGAAAGTTCAAAATCGAAAGCATCCTCTCATCTCAACTCATCTGTGTAGTTAGAAAAAATTGTCAATGAACTTTCAATAATCATTAGCTTCTACCATAATGCTCAAGACAAGCTCTCCTAGCTCAGCATGCCCGACTACAGCTGCAGGTGGATCACTGAATAACTGTTGGACAGTTGGGGTAGAATGTCTTGCAATCAGACAAGCACAGGATCTCTACAGGGCCCAATAGATTTTGTATTTTCTGTGGTAGCTGATGAAAACCAAGCTGCCAGCCCAGATGCTGGTGCAGTTCTACAAAGCCATCACCTCCTCGATCAGGGTGTGGTACACCTGGGTCACCAGGGACAAAGACGACAGCACTCTGCTGATATACTGTATCCTTCCATCTCTCCAGGACCTCTACATCTCCAGGACACAGACCCTTTTCACTGGAAACATATAAAGGATTACAAACGCATATTGTACTTTATAATATTGTACTTGTTACATTAAATCCACTTTTAGAGTTTTACCATCAAACACATACATTTACAGTTTGTTTGTTTGACATGTGTTTGAATTATTCTGTATTGCTCCACAGTCCAGCTCATCAAATTCATCTGTGGTGCAAGCAGGGGGCAATGCAAAACTGATATGAATGCAACTACAAGGGGTAGCTAGGTGATTGCCCTAATACAATATAAAATATGTTTTTTCATATGAAAACAAGAATTACAGGTTCAGTACTGAAAAGCAGATGTTAATGATAGTGTAAATGTTAATGTTAATTGGCCCAATTCCGTAAAAATACACAACATTTCCTCATCATTCAAAAGGACCACATGTGTAACATATTTTAAGTGTGAAAAAAGTACACAGTACACTACAGCTCATTGTTTCCATGTAATTGAGTGAAACATGGTGAGGAACCGGAGTCCCCTAACACAGCCGACCGTGCCATATCTGCTGCCCCTAAATCACTATTGCCCTGCTCATCTGTCCCGCTCATCTGCCCCCCCACCCGGACAAAGCCGTGGTTGTGGTTAGTGCTTTACAGCAGCCAGCAGGTGTGAAAACTCCCACCTCCGCTGTCAAAACGCAACTAGTTTGGGGTTTATTAAGTGCTTTATGAGTGTGTGCAGCCCCATCCATCAAGCTGGCCTGTCCGTTCACTGTCTTCTACTCTTCTTCAGTGAGGAGTTACAGCATACATAGCAAGTTTGGAAAAGTAATACCAAGTAAACAGACAAGTGGAGTTCTTATTTCTACTGACCTATGTTTATTATTTTAGCTAAGGGTATAGTATTTGTATGATCCAAAATCTCTATTCCAGTTGCAATATATATTTTCCTATTGAAAATAGTTGTCTTTTTCCCTTAATTAAGAATACAAAATTTAGAATACATTTTTATTATAGGGGCCAGATTATGCTATTTAAAAAAAATCTGTTATAATGTTGTTTACTCATCAAAAAACATACCTGAAGTTGAGTTTTGTTTAATTCACACATGTTTAACACAAAGATACTGCATATTTAGGTTGAGTTTTTTTCTTAAACTGAAAACACTCTGTCCCACTTTGTATCATATGGTAATATAGGAAGTGCTCCACTGTGTTTTTAACCTCTGTACACATTCACTGGAATCATATGGATACTTTCAGCCCTGGAATTGCCAATTTCTACTAAACAAAAAGTAAATGGTAGCTGTTAACTTGAAAACTACCACTACATGACATCACAAGGTGGTCTGTTGTCTCTTTGGAGATGTAGACAGACTAATAATAAACAACTACTCAAACATGCGTGAATGAAACAAAGGACAACTCCAGGTTTGTTTTTGATGAGGTAACATAACTTAAAGCTCAAAAGAATTAAATTTGTGTAATACAGAACTTAAAAAAAAGATAAAACTTTAATTTGTTCACAACGGGAAAATTGGAATGACTCTAGTTGTTTAAAAAATAACCCAGTCAATAAATAAAATAAATGTGGTGTGTATGAGTGTTGGTGATGAGCAGAGCCTTGCTTTCATCAGTCTGCCCAGGGAAACTGTGGCTGCAGTATGAACTTATCATCACTGAGTATGAAGCGAATGAATAATGCATAAAACTGTAAAGCAACTCTGAGAGTCTTGAAAAAGTTCATCAGAAAGGTTCTATTGCTGAGCTGCCTAAAAAGTGAGCATATGTCTTCTTATCATACATTTAGTTAATTCATTGTAAATTCATCACGGCTGAAGAAGAGACCGAAAAACTATTAATGAGCCTATGGATATATGTCAGCCCTGCAATTAACTACCAGCACCCCACCTATAGCCCCGAAGTTTCACTGACATTCAAAGGTTCATGAGAATAAGCTGATAGGGTGAGACAATGATTTCTGGGCTGATGGTTGAATTGTCAACAAAGCTAAACAGAGGTAACTAATAGTTTCTGAGGATTTAAAAAATAGTTGCAGAGGCCTATATAGTGTTTGTTGGAGTCTTGAACTTCTAGTAATGTTCTTTTTCCTTCAGTATTCCCAGAAATACACAAACCTTGCTCACTTTACAGTAGCAGTTACTTAAAGTCTTTATAGCCCAGACCCCCAGTGTTGGTGGAGGCCTCACCTCTGAGCAGATGATCCATGGATGAGCTGTGGATAATCAGGGTCAATGTAGCAGGTCCATTTACATTTTCTGTACATCCGGTCCCTCACACGCCTGCCCTGCCTGGCCTCCTCTGGGGGACAGCGATCGGTTCCAGTCCGGTCTGGTCGGGTCCAGGTGGGTACCAGTGAGTCTGGGGGTCACTCGGGGTCATGTCCAGGGTACAAGTCCCACTGACCCTGTGAAGAGGGGTGGCTCTCTCACCCTCCTGCTGCACCAGCTGACCTGTCACTCAGTCACCAGAGGAGCCGGCCTGAAAGAGGAGAGCACAGGAACAAGAGGGGGTCAACTTCACGGGAGAGAAATCAGTGATGTCAGCTCATTAGGACAGCAGCCTCTTCACAGTGTACTGCTGGGTTTCCCATCACATCACAACATTATATAGGCCATTCAATCAGAATGAATACAAATGGGGAAGAGTGATAATGCCTATTATTAAAATAGAGATTTATTGAATTTGGTGGGTCCCAACAAAGCTGCATTTTAAATAATCAGATTAAACATTTGTGAATTTACCTTTTCGATATTACATGTCAAACTTCAATCTAATCAGTAGGGCAACTGTTTCTGGCTCCCCCCTGTAAGTATGACATCAATTCAGATTCTAGAGTTTTATAATTTCATACTACCAGATGGGGGGCATTTTCTTATTGATAACATTGCATGAGAAATATCCACTAGGTAAATTTACTAAAGCTGAACCTGATCATTTCTATACTAAGTAACGTGGAACTTGCTTACCTAGCCAGCCATGCTTTATAAAGCTATTGCTATTTCTCAAGTAAAAAAAGATACAATAAGATATAATATAAAATAAAATACAAGATTATTCGAGAGATGTCTTGTCCAAATTTGCAGCCCCTTCTGCATTCAAACAGGGTATAAGAGCTTTTAAACAATCTTCATTTTCGGTGCCCCCATCTGTATTGAATGTTATTGGTCTGATATTGGTATGGTGTGATGTCATCTGAAATCCATGTAGGCTACGAGCTTCCTGTTTGTGTGCACAAAGCATACAAATGCACAAACGTCAATAAATGGTCCAATAGCTAATTATCATATGGAATCAAGTACACAGGAGGTCTTGACTCAATGGTTCTAGCACTTTTTATAGAACCATAGATATAGGTCTACTGATACGCCTATATTCTTATCCTAGGGCTGAGTGATATGGTGATTGAGCTCAAGTTTGGCATTATTTATTTAAAAAAAAAAAGTAATTAATAAAACTGGCGCATTTAACAACATCATCATCAATAACAACAACAACAACAACAACAAATCTCAATGTTGATTAAAATTCGATTATTTAGCCAGCCCTAGTCATCATGTCACATACCCTACATTTGTGCCTCTGCTTTATGGGGAGGTGAATACAATAGCCGAAACATTAGCCTTTTTTTATTAGTCAAAATCAATAGGTCTACATGATAATGCATTTAGAGTACGAACAAAGCCAAATGAGCGTCTTTGCGCAGTTATCCTCTCCATTGTCTTACATAACCTTTGTTGTTGACAGTAGCAGAAGTGGTCGCAGCTCAACTCTCGAACACCCCGGATGAACTTGAGCAGCTGACCGGGAAACAGATAATCCCCGCGGGCTAAATTTACTCAGAGTGGACGCTACAGGTCGGAGCAGAGCGACGCACGTACTATGAATGTTTATTGGCCAAAGCGCTGTGTTTTTCTGCGCTGACATTACACGTACAAGTGACAGGTTTGTGCTGGACATGGCTGAACCTGCGGAGAAGCGGTTCAAAAGCAGCCTACCTCGGTGCGCATCCCACCGGAGCTCCAGGGGCCGGGGTGTGCTCACTCTGCAGGCCGCTGTGGAGGAGGCTCTGTGCGGGGTCAGCAGCCTGCTTTTCCACGGTGTCTACAAGCTGCAAGCTCTGGTAAGACACACCTCCAGCATGGACAGTTCCGACTGCATTTGTGTGTGCGTGGAAGAAATGTGTGGAAACTGTCGGACTCGGTGCTACCTGTTGCCTTGTAAAGTTTGGGAAGATGTAGGTGGCGTATCGGCTACTTTGTAATTAAATACGCCTTATAATGTAATAGCCAGACTAATATGCCAAGTGTATGGATAAGTATTTCGTAATTTATTGAGCAATGTATAACGATGCAGTAGAAAGGACTCAAGACTCAAGGAGACATTCCCATCAGGCCTATGCTTAACATAGGTTATAATTAAAGGTGCACTATGCAACTTTTCTGGTTGAGTCTTCCACCTGCTTGCTGTCTCCATGGAAATGTTATTGCTTTGTCTGTAATGTTTCACAGTACGGTAGACTTGTCTTTGTCCAGTGATTGAAGCTGGGCACGCCAATAGTCCAAATTACAGGTTATTTATTTATTTATTTATTTATTTTATTCATTCATTCATTCATTTCTGGTCTAAAAACAGCTGTAACTGAATATGCAAGACATGAGTAAAGTCATACTGTGGAATGTTCCAGACAACAAACAACATCTTCATGGAGACAAGCAGGTGGCTAACGTGATACCATAGAAATTATATAGTTAAGCATGACATCTAGATGCTGCTGCTCCCTTTTTGATCAGCCTAACTTTGTAGTATCTCTTGCAACATAACAAAACATGTATAGCCTAGATTATAGAGATTGTAGAGAACATAATTATTAGTACAATACAACACACTATTCAACAAGAGTGTGTGAGTGCTAACAGATGTAGCAGACAGTAAGAACAATCATTCTAGTCACCTCTCCCTAAGTGTGGTGCCCTATTGTGCATTTACAGAGCAGTGACACTGACAGAACACATATCCATAGATTAATAAACTATATTCCAAATGAGAGTATTAGTCATTAAAAATATTGTATCTGTTTCAGGCCAGTGCATTTGAGCGAGATGATCTTGCCCTCCCTCGTGTGGCTCTGTTCTTCCATCACATGGCACAGACGCAGCAGGAGGAGGCCCAGGAGCTGCTGCGGTACCTGTCCCAGAGAGGAGGCACCTACTGCGGTCACGACGTACAGGTAAGCACTCCCAACTCAAGAGGGCCTTTAACAGTGATTCATATTTTCTAATACTGTTCTTAGTACAGTGTATTTTATTTATTTTCTATGAGGATTAAACTGAGAAATATTTGTTGTTTTCATTGATACAGAAATGACAGTGAATAATAGATGCTTTAGGGTTGCATGATTTTAGGGAAAGAAAATGACAAAGTATTGATCATATCACGTTATTAATGCTTGATCTCATCTGAGGTCTATAGCTAGTCAGGGTTGGATTTAGTTAGTGATTTAATGGGAGACTGCTGGGAATACCATGGGTGCTGCAGTGGGGCAGCAGTGACTGAAACTTTTCACGCCAACTACAACCCAAGAAAATATTTATACTGACTACCAGCAGATCCAAACCAGGTCTATAACAGGACTATACCAGATTTAATTAAGACAACACAGTTCCTACAGAAGTTATAAACAAGTACCAACCCAAAGGAGGAGAATTTGACTCTACATTTAGTTTACACCAGAAATTAACGTGCCACCACATCAAGCTTGCATACAACCAGTGATACAAGTACCACAGTTTAAGAACCATAGCTCCAGTGCATACTGTTGTTGATACCAATTTTAGCGATATAGTATTGTTATCGTGGGCTGAGTAGTTTTTTGGTATCTTTTAGCTATTTTTTGAGAGCACACAAGTGGAAACTTGTTTATGCAATACACTTGACATATTCACTGTTTTGATTATTAAAATCAGTGTATTTATCAGTATTAACTAGGGTTGTAACAGTAACAGAAATATTGTGATATCATATTGTCAAAGTTCTCACAATAATATCATGGACCATCACAATATATCGAATTACAAGTCAGTTTGCTTAAATTAATAGTGGTGGACGGTGCATCAATATCTAAAAAAAGAGGGAACTACATAGTCCATGATCCTTTGCTCCATTTCAGTGTAGACTACAAGAAGAAATCACAGTGCTGAGCACTTTTAAGTCTTAGTTCTTTGGATTTAGTCTTGCCAATGCAGAGATTTGGATATTGATACACCCCTAATCGTGAGCCTTCCCACCATATCGTGACCTTTCCCACAATATCGCAATAAATATCTTACCATCGCACACTTGGACATTGTTACATCCCTAGTATTAACTTTGCTCAAGTACTGGTTTAACAAAAAATATTGCTCAAAAAATGTATTTGGTTATTAAAAAACAGCAGTATATCACAGAGTATCATGTACAATATGATTATTGCTGTATCAACATATTGTGAAACTATCGTATCATGAGCGAAGTAACTGTCTGTAACTATAACTGCCAAGTACTGCCAGGACTCCAGAATTAGCAGATTTTATACATAAAAAGGCAGTTGTTGTTGTTGTGCTGTCTTGTTGTCATTTAAAACCACAAAATAATGCCAAAATTAGCATTGTATATGCATATTTGAGCGTGTATATAATGTTATGAAAAACTTATCAAAGTCATCCTGAGGTTATGGTCAAGAACATGTAGCATTAGCCTGAGATCCTGGCTCCTGTTGGGCGGAGGGGCATTAAATTCCACTTGGAGAGTTCCTGGATAGTGTTTTAGATGAACCAGGATGAAGAGTTGATTTGTGGATCCATTTTGAAACTAGATTTATTATAAGAATATTATCTGTCCAACTGTGGAGCTCCGGTCTGTAACTGTCTTCTCTTTTTACTTACTTTACCCCCCCTCACACCCTGTCTTGTAGGATTCATCTGACCTCCTGCTATTATTCATTGTGTCAAAACAGGTGTCTTCATATACTGTACTTTTTCTGTCCAAAACAGAAATGGTTTCATTTTGGACCAGATCTCTTCATTTGGGGTTCCGTTTGACATCAACAAAATAGGTGAAGGGAAGAGGAGGATGCCACAGGAGTCACACCCCCCCACCCTCACCCCATCCCCAAACCTGGCCCAGAGCCGGTGAGGGTGTACATTTCCTCCCTGAGTTCCGGAAAATTCTCGGGATTAATGTGGTGGCAGGGGGGTGAGGACACTGATGGGGTTACCAGATGTGCGGGACGTGAGCGGGTGGAGGTACGAGGACCACTGAGCGGAGGTGGCGTTGGCGCGACACGATTTTATGAGACGAAAAGAATCGGTTGAGGACTGTGGCCCCACCAGTCAGCAGCACTTTGGGGCACCTTGTTATCCAGAGTGTGGGTTACCTACACTGCAATATAGTTTATAATTTATGTTGATGCGACACTGTAGTCATTTTTCATACATTCACATGTTTGTAGTATCCTGTTAACAATATTCAGACAATATTTAATATTATATTTATTTAATATTATTGTTTGCAACAGTTCAGACTTGAGCACTTTGCTGTCACTGTAATGCTGGCAACAACTACCATGCTAACAGTAAACCAGCACTTAGATGCAGACTGCACACATCAGTCTCATTTGACCCTAAGTGCTGCTTTTAAAATACATCTGCACTGGGCAATTTTTTTCTCATTAAATTTTTTCCTTTTAGATAAAAAACACAAAGAAGAATCCGGTACAAACAAATAATTACAATTCAATGTCAGCGTTACTGGTGTTGTCACTGAGTCTGTGATCTGACTCCTTGTCATTCAGTCTCGTTAGCAGGCTGTAGCTCTCCATTGAGTAGAATATGGGTGTGCTACTTACGCCTCACTTCAAACTGGAAGGTGCTGTGCTCACCTCTGGAGGTGTTAAGTGGAGTTTTTATCCTGCAACAAGAATTAGAGCAAACTAGAGCAAAAGTGATGAGAGGTTGCTTTGTATAGTATGGGGATTGCAACACTGAACAAACTGAAATTTGAATGGTCGCCATCAGCAAAACACTAATTTCTTTGCCAATTAAAAATTGCAAATTAAAAATATAATTTCTTAATATGTACAAAAAGACTGCTAACCCTGCATCTTAGACCTTAAAGGGACAGTCTGGAATTTTGGACATAGGACCTCATTTCCTACTTAGCCAATGTTGGAGATGTGTGGAGACACTTTTAAAAATATTCCATCCATCCAGTCCTTGTATTTGCAGAGGTCGCTGGTGCTAGGCTAGTGCATGTCAATGGCCATAGTTATCCTGCCACTAAAAACAGTCTTGTCCACTCAACAGTGCACTCAAGGCAAATCTATTATTATGCCAGACGATCGATGTAAATGTCTGTGTCGATAGAATAATTTTAGAAGTAAAACCAACCTTGCATTTGAAGGACTTATATCTGAGCAGCAGCAGTGAGTTGTACTTCCTGATAGAAAGCTTGGCAGTGGCGAACTGATATCACCTAGCACCTGTCTTACCGGCAAAGTTAAATTCCGCTGCTGCTGAGAAAATAGTCCCTCAACATGCAACGATTCATGCGAATCAGGGTTAGTTTTATTTCAAAATTTTTTCTGTCAACACAGACATTCACATCGATACTCTGGCCTAATAATAGATTTGCCTCGGGTGCTTTGTGGAGTGGGTAAGACTGTTTTTAGTGACAGGCTAACTATGGTCATTGATATGAGCTAGACTAGCACCAGTGACCTCTGCAAATACAAGGACTGGATGGAATATTTTAAAAGCATCTTCATACGTCTCCAACACTCTGGCTAACTAGGAAAGGAGATCCTATGTCCAAAATTCCGGACTGTCCCTTTAATCTAAAATGCAAAATCAGTTTTATGTAGTCTCCATGTAGTCTCCATTAATAGTAATACATATGGCTGCATGAAATATTTCATGGGACAGAACATACCCATGGCACCAACATGCACCAGAAGATCCGACCTCAGCTCGAGTCTAGATTTAAGTGCAAGTGAGATGCATTGGATTGAGTCCAGTGGGTTTTCTGGGAAAGCCATAGTATAACATATCAACATATATGGGCCATTGTAAGAACATCCAACTGCAAAACAGCAGCCGTGTAAACATGTTCTTGGGTTGTGAAATCCAAGGTTGTGTCTTATGTTTGATACGTGATACATTCACTTTGTTTACATGCTCAGAGAACTCTGATTGCGCTAAACAACAAAATTCCAATTGTCTTTGCCCCAAAGCCACTTTGTCCCAGGCTACATGAAGGTTAAAGAACTGAAAGTGCAAATGGGTTATGAGGTGTGTAGCTTTAGCACTAAACTTTTGCAACTTTAATTTCTACTAACAACTATCATAGCTATAAGAACACATTTGGGAGACTAATGATAATCAAATTTTTCACTGAGCATTTGATTTTTAGAAATGTTGTGAAATATGGTACTGAAGGTATTTGCTCTGTTATGTTCATCTTCACTTAAACATAGTGAACCAAAACAAAACAAAACTAGTACACATTGGAGGGGCTGTTTGCCATCTGTGCTGATCTTAAGTGAGTACACGTTCTAAACACATGCCTAATATTTTCCTGTCTGTTTTTTACGACACAGTTGAATGCATCATCTACTCTGGATATATGTATACGTAATGCGGACTACGCTGTTACTTGCAACGGTACACGAGTATGTACTGACTTCTCCATATGTGTTATTGGGATCTTTGACATTAGAACTGTGACAACTATGACTATGAAATGAAACAGTATGTTTCGTGTGGATATATATTAATAGTAAAGGAAAATCATTAAAGGCCAATTTTACTACAGAACTCACCCCTTCAGCCCAGTTTTAAAAGATAAATCTTTTAGAATGTGAATATGAGCCCAACCCTACTCCCAGTGAGATGTTCTGATGATTTTAACATACTTATATTTTATGTGGTTAGCTACCTGAGGCTCCAATTAAGAAGTGTGAGTACAGTGTGATACATGCACAAAGTTGCTAGTAGTACTGTATGTCACATTGTGTAAAGGCGTGCTGTGCTGTCCCTGATAAGTGCTGCAATGTTAATGAGTCATGTCACTCACAGGGACATAGTAGCTGGATGTCTGTGTGTCCAATATAGTTTTGTCACTATTGGACTTGGCTATGATATTGGAAATATCTTATTTTTTTTTCAGACCATTATTAAGATAACTTTAATTTAGACATATGGTGCACATTTTAAACACAGCATGAAGACTTGAGACAAGACTAGAATATTAACTGATAAACCAATATAAGAATCACATGCCTTTCAAAACCTTTACATAGTTTAGGTGGGTAATATAAAAAGTATAATTCAAATATCAGTACCATAAAGCAGGTATTATTGAACTACCAGTATCAAACATTTTAATTGCATTAAAAATGAAGACAATAAAATATATAATCACAGATTATACATCACAGATTAGATTCTTGTTGTTACAACAAATGACCATTCTGTAATACTAAACACCAATTATTTTATTCTTAATAATAAAATATTGATTTATGTTAAACATAGTAACAGAGTAATTTGAATATATTTCCAAAGTAGTTTTATAAAGGATATTGTGATAGTATGGTTGACTACAATTATTTGGCTATGATAATCGGACACATGACACAAAATTTCAGTATCATCCTGTGCCTAGGCGGAGGGACTATAATTTGCCATTGCCAGTCTAAAAGTGGACAAGGACAGTTTTATCATAGAACTCTCCTCTACCATCCAGCTCAGTTTCAACCTGTTGAACTGTGCCGTGCCTACTCACAATGAGATGTTCTGATGATTTGAACATATTTATATTTTGCGTAGATAGGCATGTACCACATGATTTCCATAATTTCCTATCTGTCTTTGCACAGTGCTGTTGAATGCATGAAGCACAGCATACTATACATGCAGTGGTATTCTGTACAATCAGAGTTCTCCAATTGCCCTAATCAGATCAGAGACATTCAGGCTATGAGCTCTCAGTCGATTAGGCAGTAATAGTTTTGTTTCCCAGTGTGGATGTATTTGTAGTGACTGTAAACCATCCCTGACCCTACAATGGCAGACAGTAGTCGTGTGTGATGTGTGTGAACACTGCAGCTCTTTGAACATTGTGGACTGTCCCACTCGGAGCTGTTTACCTAAGGCTTCTCTCAGGACTAATGACCTGTAATGAGTGCTTTACAACAGGCAGCTGGTGTGAAAGCTGCCACCTCAGCTGTCAGGACGCCTCTCTTTTTGGGTTTGTAAAGGCCTTTATGAGCCACACACTCATTTGTCAAATGTACACTACAGTCTCTAATGTCCTGGACTCCTCTTTCGGGGCCGTTAAGGACATGGGGCTAATTTATTGTCATTTCTACTGAAGATGAGACACAAGGATTTCTATAATAAGAGATAATGACCTCTCTTTACTACATTGCATCTTGTATAGGATATTGTGTTGTCTAATGACTGCAGAAAATAATAGTGTTGGAAACATGGGGTGCAACAGTTCAAACTGACTTGATTTTCTCCCAGTGTAAAATTTTGTGTAGTTCTGTGCATGTCTAAAATGGGATGAAGAGTGGAGAAAGGCATTCAGTAAACTGCCCATGTTAATGAATATGATATAGGCCTACATGCTGTAAACATGCCAAATTGTTCATACACCAGCGACAGCGTACATGAACACTAGAGGCAGGGTTAGGTATGCAATGTCACTATGCACTGCCACTTCACTATGGCACTTGGTATTCTCAGCAATCTCTCATCTAGTATTTAATGAATTGTATTAATGGAAAGCCTCTTGAGATATAGCATCTTGTTTTCAATGGGGACCAGCTTGTGCACTGACCTAACCCATAGGCCAAACAGCAGCAGTTCTATCCACTATTATTTGTGTATTCTTGTATCAATACATCCTCTATTATTGCCATGCACATTACTATGCACATACTGTATATAATACAAGAAAATTTGTGTTACAGAGACCAGATTGTGAGACGGTGTGCTCTGTCCTGGCTGCCCTGGAGCTCCTCGGTCTGCTGCTCAGGGAGGAGGTAGGGGTCCTGGTGGAGCTACAGGGACTGTTCCGGGACCATGCAGACCCTCAGACCTGGTCCATGGTCCAGACTCTCCTCCTGAACCCTCGAGTGGAACGCCTCAAACAGATAGGAGACCTGTTGAGTAACGCACGCAGACTGGGGTGCACCACAGACACAAGGGGGCGCTTTGGGGAGTACCTTCTCAATGAGCTACAAGATGAGCTGAAAGATTAGATAAATATTAGTGTCTAGGGCTGCACAATGTTGGAATGGAAATGGAAAAAAAAATTGGCTTCTCTCTGAGTTAGGGGAGGCATGAGCAGACTTTGTGTCTTCGTGTGCAATTTTGAAGCTGTTGCGCTCCTCGTGTGTGGTGTCTTTGTGACTCTGAGCTGCTCTGTCTGATCTTAACTACCAAACATCAGTAAATAAAACAATGTCAGGGGCAGACGGAGGCACAGGATACAAACTCAGTAAATAGTGAAAATAATTATTACTTACCTCTGAAAGTTGTAAATTTAAACTGCAGCATCTCATACACGTTATTCATAGAATTTGTCCTTTTTAAATAAATGACGCCTAGTCCACAAAACAGTGCTGTTAATCCAGTTTGAAGCATTCTTTAAAAGTAAAAAGTCAAGAGTAGTTCCTCATGTGCATCTGTGTACATCCATACAGTGTGCGGATTGGGGTGAAGCTGCACAATAGAGATCAAGACTACTTCCTGTGTACTTTATCACAAACCTTCTGTGCATTAAACATAATGTATCTGAAGTATTGCACCAAAATTCATACATAATAATAACACGGTTTTGAGAGTCTCAAAGCGAGTGGTCTTACTGTGGACAGGAAACAGATTACGCAAGATGTGCTCACAACTTTAGACTGCTTTATGCAGCCATATGCAGTTTTTGCAGTCAGAGATTTAAAATATCATCAGATTATCCTCTTATCTGCGATGTGGGCTTTTCATCGCACATTCCTGTAGTGTGTAGCAGCCTTTAGACAGACTTTATTGATCCACACGGTAAATTACTTGAACACAGTAGCTCACACATCACGTTATATTACAATTAATAATTTTAAATGTTGTCAAAGCTTAAGACAAATTGTTTTATGCTTTATGTTTTTGTAGCACCTATCCTATAGTAAAGGGGCATTCAGATAGGGTTTTTGTATAAAGGTACACTTTTAAAACACTACAAACTCCAGGGATCAAAGTATCTGTACTATAATGAAGTAGTCAACATGAAGTAGTCATTCCGCTTTCAAGGTTTCACTACTGTATTTATGTTAGTAACAGAAAATTATTTTATTATTTTATATGTTATAGTTAAAGAAACCCATTTATGTACAATCTACTGTCAGAGATTATTGTTGTCAGTGCATCTTGTATTTATGCTACATTGTGAAATTAAATGACTGACCTATTATTTATTGCCAACTTTTTACTATTACTTAAGTAGATTACTATGTTATGGCTGTAGCTTAGATTCTGTCATTACATTTGTGCATTCTGGGTGTCGTGTTATGATATTTCAAATGTCAAAATACTTTTTGTCAAAAATTAACCTTTATGACAGGGTTGTTACAATACTAAACTTTCAGACTTTACGGAAACTTGATATTGTAGATTTTATTTACTTTTTATTTACTTATTTAATATTACCACGCTGTCTGATACTAAACAATGACCATTCAAAAAATATTCAGGAAAAGCCCAAATCTGTTTAATTTGTGTTAGTAATAATTCATATCTGGGTATTGCTACTTTTGACAGCCCTTTTAATGATTATAGCCTATATATTTTTATTTATTTTATTTATTTATTTAGTTATTTATTTGAGACAGGGACAGCGCACAATTTTTGCATTAACTTTAACAGGAGAGATGCATTGTACATCTGGTTGTAGCATCAGTGCTAATTTCCACCCATAGTCCCTGGGCAGATTCACTGACAGTACCCCAACTCCTACTCTGCGCAATTTAAGCTCCACCAAATACAAAAAAGGCTTAGTTGATGACATTATCATAACACCTGTCAATCACTTTTGCTAGTGCTAATCTCTTGAATATTTCCTCAGACATCTCTAGCACTTGTAGCTTCTACCCATGTGACTTCTGAAGGCACCTAGACCTGCTTAACTGATCTTAGTCCTCTGTCCACCCTCCTGCTCCCTCTAGTGACAGCATTTTGTAACTACGACTGCTGTGAAAAAATGTGAATGTTGTGAAAAATGAAGATTTGAGGTGATTTTTATTTATATGTAAGAGTTCAGGGTGCACAGACATCTGATACACTCAAAACAACAAGTCTGAAAACCTAACCCCGCTCCACCGAATGACCACTGCTCCCCAGCTAAAAATAACCCTATGACATTTAACTTGATTACTGGGTTCACACACTTTGAATGTAGGCTACTATTTACACCTGGACTTTGGACAAGGCAAACACAAGAATATTACGTTTTTAAAAAGTAGAAAAAATGCCTTTTGTTATTAATAGGACTATACTATTGATTCCTTTTGTTGTTTGTAGCTAGGCCTTTTTGTCATTTTGTCCTATCTTGGAGTTTATATAGCCTATTAATATAACCTACTTTGTTTTAAGATATATAGTTAGTTGTAAACAAGACAAAGTGTAATACAGTATAATTTTTGAGTTCTTTTCAGTGGTATTAATTCAAGGGAACATTAAGGCCTTAAGTTATTCACGTATGAACTTTGGCACTTAGTTATTCTTGTTTATTTTCTTTTAAATCTTGTAAGGAGAGGCATCGAAAAATTATCTTTTTAATACACCACTTGAAACAATGCATTTGGTTTGTCTAGTGTAATTACTATGTCCATTGTCCACATGAAATAAGGTAATTAATCAAAAAATAAACATTTTAATCAAAACATACAGCCTACAGCCTGGAAATAACACAGCTATTTGAACATTGTGGAAACTATTAATACATGATTTGGGTCATGCAAAGATAAAAAACAATGTATTAGTCATCAATTGTTATGATATTGTGTTGTATGTTAACAAAAATTCTATTTAAGTTGTCTATAATGTTAAGCGTAAAGTGTTTTTACGCATGATTCAATGCTGTCTGTCTTAACCTGAGCCGTCCGTGCCTGCCATGCCACAAAACAAGCAGTAGTTATGAGGTCAGGGGTCAGAAGTCAGAGGGCTGGATATGGAAACATGCCTCTGTCTGAATAAATGTGCTGAGCAATGGCCACTCACACAATATGACATCTGATATAGGGGTATATTAAGGCTCCGATTAGTCCTATCATGCATACTTTGCCCAATGTGTGGGGTGGAAGAGATATAATAGGTTTGTTTTGATGATTAATTTAGAAACAAATATACAAATAAAATTAACTGTTTTTTTTTTGCTCATTTAAATCTCACAGGTATTTAGGACAGTTGCTCTTACTGTAAAATGTATAGTTTATATATACTGTCCAAAACTACAGCCTACACATGATTTGGAATATTTTTTCCTCTATTTGTGTGTTATAGATTTATAGCCATATGTACATTCTTTATTATAGTGGGAACATATTGCCTGCATATACATTAAATTATATTGCTGTTGCTGTTAAATAAAAAGACACATATTGGCCAAAACCAATGGTTTGTATTTCTCTAACGTTTTGATGAACTACTGGGAGTAATGCACTAGACCTTCCTACTTTATATAATATCAGCAATAAAACAATAATATGATGCAGGTGTTATTAAGTAGGTTTGTGTGTGCTTTCCAAACGTAGCCTACTGTATTTACACAAAGGTCAAGCATCCTTCAGGGACAGAGGGACAGGCCAAACATTGGACCAAAAGGCCCGGGCCCACACACGTACGGGCCTCATCATTTAATTTACGTATACTCACGTACATCCACTGCCCACGATACACAGTGTTCCCACGTGTGCGCGCACAACTTAGTGCACACGCAGAGCACTATATTACTGTGTAACTGCTCTGTTAGGGGTAATTGTACACTAATTACCGTGAAGTTGTAAACCCCTCCTGTTGCTCCCTGATTGGCTGTAGAGCGGTGGTCGCTGAGGCCTGCGCCCCGCCCCGGGGTGCTGTCCGTGGTTTAAGAGGCCCGAGGAGCGAGCAGGAGACAGAACAGTTTGTGACAGGACTTACATTCCCCTCACTGCCCCTCACGCGCCCTACGTCCTGTCCCATTCTAACGTGACTACCGCTGGAACCATGGAGCTGTCGGATATCTCGTTCCCTCTCCCCTCTGCGGATGACTTCTACGATGATCCTTGCTTCAACACCAGTGACATGCACTTCTTCGAGGATCTGGACCCACGGCTTGTGCACGTTAGTCTGCTGAAACCAGACGAGCATGCGTCTTCCCCGTCCTCCGGCTCTTCCTCTCCTCCGTCCTCCTCTCCATCACCAAATTCTCTTCTGCACCTCCATCACCACCACGAGGTCGAGGATGACGAGCATGTCCGTGCACCCAGCGGGCACCACCAGGCAGGCCGCTGTCTGCTGTGGGCGTGCAAAGCATGCAAGAGAAAGACAACCAACGCAGACCGCAGAAAGGCTGCCACTCTGCGCGAGCGCAGGCGACTCAGCAAAGTCAATGACGCCTTTGAGACGCTCAAGCGCTGTACGACCGCAAACCCCAACCAGCGGCTGCCCAAAGTGGAGATCCTCCGCAACGCCATCAGCTACATTGAGTCTCTGCAAGCGCTGCTCCGCGGCGGTCAGGACGACAGCTTCTACCCGGTACTGGAGCACTACAGCGGGGACTCAGACGCCTCCAGCCCTCGCTCCAACTGCTCAGACGGCATGGTGAGTCCGCTGACACCTGTCACACTGGGGCAGTCAGGAAAATGGGGGGCGCATACATTTTTTGGCAGTAATGAGGATATTTGTAACATGAAACCATAGGCCCGTTTCCCTGAGGGTCTGCTTTTTCTGCTTTTAATTTAGGCCTATTTACTTTTGTGTTTTGGCAAAACTCACATAGATACTAATGAACAGCAGTTTGTCCCACGGGCCCCACGTAAGGCCTTTACGCACAACAAAATCGCGTTGATTATAACATCCTGATGCTCATTTCCACTTTTCATATGCTGAAACAGTTTTAAGATCCATTATAGTGACACTAGTGTTAATGTAACGCGGCTATGAGCGTGTTTGTGTCGCACCTCCATGTTGACTTTGAACAAATGTCCTTCTCTTCAAAGCGCGTAAGGGAGAACTTATACACGCACTTTTACGCTCGGGGTTTATGCCTGATGTCTTTGTAGATCACAAAAATAAAAATATACAAAAATAAATAAACAAATATCTTATGCATTTTAAGATTCCGGCTGTTGTCTTTATTATTATATTTGACTTCGAAATCTAAATTTTAGGCCTCAAGTGTGATCTCTTACGGGGAGCCGACATCTTGCATGTGGATTTAAAGCATGAAGTGTTTGAATTTACTTAATATTACTTTAATTTCTAGATAATATGCATTTATGAATTTAAAATTATTTATTTCTACAGCTTCACCATTGTTGTAACATTTAGATACATCAACGCCAGAGCATTAATAGCGTTTAAAGATTTGAATGGCCTAGTACATTCTTAGCCTACTGTTTATAGTTTTATATTATATCATCTTTAACACTAATAATCCTAATGGTAATAATAATCCCCCCCTTGCTTGTTCCAGGCGGACTTCAGCGGGCCGACCTGCCAATCCACCCGGAGAGGAAGTTACGACAGCAGCTCTTATTTCTCGGAGACTCCAAACGGTACGTACTGTCTCTAACAACACTTCATTTTGGTAATTAGAGCGTAATTGAGCCATTGACCAAGGGTCCCAAAAGCAGTTCAAGAGAAAGTAAACACGAGCTAATGAGCCAACAAAAGAATAAAATCTGACTGCTCCTTTACTCTTTCGCCAAGATTAAAGCCTAATAACAGTGTTGTTCCATTTTTTCCAAATCAAGTGTTTTATTTAGTATAATTTGTACGATTTGTAGAGATTTGAAATGTCAGTGTCATTCTTTTAGGTTCAATTTATAAACACGAATACTTAGATTAGCTCATTTAACTTTGAGCTGTTTTATAACCAATTAGGCTACATATTTTTAATTTAGGTATTTAATTAATTTTTTTTTTCTTTATTTCTGACACACAGTTTTGGTCTAACTTCTTTTTCAGAAATGATTGTTCTATTTCATTCATGATAATAGTTGCACTGATAGCATTACAATAGTTTCACTTAATGATAATATTATTGTGATTGCTTGTTTCAGGCGGTGTAAAGAGCGACCGCAGCTCTGTAGTCTCCAGTCTGGACTGTCTGTCCAGTATCGTCGAACGCATCTCCACCGACACCAACAGCCTGATGCCAGCCCCCGAAAGCCCTGCCTCTCCACCCACCGAACCGGCCAATCAGTCACCAGCACAGGGGGGCTCCGTCCAGGTGCCGTCCCCTACACCAGTGGACCCCAGTCTCATTTACCAAGTGCTATAGACTCCAGTATTATCGAAGCACCCTGGACTTTTACACACTCAAAACACTCTAAAAATGATCTTCTCTTAAACTTTGAGCTGTATCTCACCTTTTGCCACTTTTTTATAATTAAGATTTTTATACACTTTTATATTTACTGAGGAAAAAACACGAGTGAACAAGACCATGAGATGCAGTTTTAAGTATAGGTCTCCCATTTCAACCCATCAGCTACTACTGTACTATGTAAACACATGACTATAACATTGCATCACATTTAATATTACTTATTCTTTATTAATTTATTTCTTACATGTATGGACTTGTCGTCATATTATTTATCACTAAGCTGCCTGATTGTCAACATAAACATTTTGTCCCAACCAGAAACAAAATAGCTTTAGTAGGCTAATTGTACCGTAGCAGGGATAGCATTATAGCATTATATTTAATTGTAATAAGTTATATAGAAGTAGCCTATACTGTCAGAAGGGGTTCCTGTCCAGTGTGTAGTGGATTTGGTGAAAGGACGCAGGCCAAAAACCGTCCATTTACATTCCTCCACTTTGATCCATCGGACATCCCAACTCAACAGCTGTTCACAAAAAAAAAAAAAAAATCTTAATCCCACCAAAGGATACCAAGAAAAAGTCAATTTTTCCCTGAATGCTCCCCTCTCACCATAAAATACTTTATTATTCCCATTTTGAAAGAAAAACAAAACCAAAAAAAATCTCATTTGATTTCATTCATTCATCCAGCGGAGGACCATTTTTCTGTCTGTAAATATGTTGTAAATAAGAGCTGATTTGTTCCAAACTGAAAGTATTAATTATGTATTTAATGTTTGTGTCGTCCGTTCGTGCTGTTTGTTGTGAGAAATGTTCAACTTTATATTTATACATCTGGAAACGGAGTGACTGTCTATTGATAAATAAATGAAATACTTATTTATACTAAAACAAGACTCCTTATGTATTATTTTTCCAGTACAAAAATATAGATTATGCATTTTAATATAGTAAAAACATATAGTAAAAACATGTACAAAAAAATTTGTGAAGCTTTTACATTTTTTATCTAACATGCTGAAAATTATGTTATATAATTATATAGTAATAATAATAATAATAATAATAATAATAATAATAATTTACAAAAACTGATTCTGTACATGGTTGAAGTAGAAACATTTTGCCATATAACTAGCAATATGAAAAAAAAATAAAAATAAAAAATAAACAAGAATTAAACAAAGACTTAATTCATAATTAACAAATTAGTAACAACTTATATTATTTATTATATTATAATTACTTATATAATACTCCTGACCCTAACCTCTAAACCTGAATAAATATTAAGTATTTACGCATTACTATGACTATTTGAGCATTACTGTAAATAATCAAAGTGTAGTAACTGTAAAGTGTTACCCAGATTATATTTAATAACAATTAACTCTACAACGATTTCTATATAGTTTCCTCTATTAGTCTATAGAAATGTGGACCGTGGCGTAAGTGTCAGGAGCAGGATCGCCCTCTTGTGGAAATCTAGTAAACTGCAATTATTCTGCAACCCTCAGCTCCACTTTCATATTGTACGGTTTAGGCGTCACAGTGATTCCAAACTCCAGCTCATAGTCAGGCTCTCCTGCATCCTCAGGCCAAATGAACTTAAACCTCCTCAGAAGAGTCACCATGATGAGGAAGAGCTCCATACGGGCCAGGCCTTCTCCCAGACACACTCGAGGACCTGGACAAATATAGAAAACATTATTATAGAAACTTTGCATGACATGGCAATTTTTTATTATTTTTATTTTTTTTCTGTTGGCTAGATTCTGTACCAGCAGAGAAGGGCAGGAAGGCATCTGGTTTGACAAACTCCCCCTTGTGGTTAAGGAAGTTTTCAGGGTTGAATTCATGAGGAAACTTCCACTGTCCTTCCTCACTAAGCGCTGACGACAGGTTGGGGATGATAATAGTGCCCTAGGACCACATTATCAGAGATACAGGATACATTTACCAGAAATTAATGTGCTACAGTTTAGATAGAGAGTCTCCAGCCTGTAGCAGGGGTCTCTAACCTATACCCCTTTCAATGTAACTGCCAACTTGCCAACCCTTGAAATTCTTTGTATTGTGCTGAATGACTAAAATTTGAGTAATTAATTTTAACTATAATAAAAACACAAGACCTAGGTTCCCATAATAAGTCCATCCCAAAGTATGCTATCAAATAGATCTAATAGACAGATCATCTATGCTTTTGAAATAAACAAATCTCTAACTTACTTTAGGAATGGAGTAACCCATGAGCTGTGTGTCTTTGGTGGTGGCATGGAAAACACTAAGGGGGACAATGTTGGCAATCCTCTGAATTTCATGAATTACAGCCTGAAATACATGCAATAAGAGAAGCATTAGATTTAAAATGGCACAACCTCACTATTCTGGCGAGAGTCTACATCTCCAAGGAAGCGCGAGGCCCTTCACCAGAAACCTTACAGGACTCTCTCTAACCCCCACCAATCAGGTACACTCATACAGGCATCTAGACTGAAGTGTCTTGGCCAAAGACACAGCAATAGCATGGAGTACTGACTGCAAATAATTAAGGACAATGATCAAGCCATGAAGAAATTAGTGGGACAACTACTGTTAACTACCACATCGAGTACCTGAACATAAGGCATGTTGTGTCTTTCTTCAAAAGTTACTAAGTCCTTTCCCTCCAGCACTTGGTCTATCTCTTGCTGACAGCGTTCTGAGGAGGAGAGAAAAGACATATATATGTATATATCTTTCCCATTTCGAGATGGCTACAACAGATACCGGGAAAAACAATGGATATCTAAGTCCAGAAAAGTGCAGTACTGGGAACAGCAAAGATACTGCGCAGAAAGAAACACATTTATTATATATATATATATATATATATATATATATATATATATATATAATATATATATATATATATATATATATATATATTCTAGTGTAACTGTATTATTGTAATTTTACTACTACTTCTAACATTTACTGTACACAATATGTCTTACCCTGGATGTGAGGCTTGGTCATGAGGTAGAGGAACCCAGTGAGCAGCGTGCTGGATACGGTGTCCGTCCCTGCTCCATAAAGACTGAGACAAAACATAAACAGTTCCTCTGGACAAAACGAAGAGCCATCATCGCCTCTCTGTTAATTATATAAAGAGGAAGTCATTATCGATATCGTTTAATAAATTTATGTGCTATACCTCACCTTCTCCAGCTCATCCAAATAGCAGTCGACCAAGTCCTGTGGTTCGCCTGGCACTCTGTTCTTCTTGTGTTCATTTATAATCGGAATTAAAATATCTTTAACTCTCTGAAAAGCAGAAACACAAAGACAAATCACATCCACAGCCTTAAAATGATGGAGATTTAATTTGAACTTTATGTGAAAACAAAATAGTAGTAGCAGTAGTAGTACAGTCCATACCTGTCTTGCCTTAAAAGCTCTGGTGAATGGTAATGGCAAGTACCGCACCCAGTGAAAAGAATCATACAGCTGTGAAAAACATATACATTACAACATTACACTTAAAGTGAAGCTAAAGTCAAATGTAACTAATTTCTGTAACTTACAAAAGCCCAGGGTCCATTTAAAGTTTTGTTTACATCATCAAAGCAGTTCACAAGTTTAATCATGAATGTATCGTTATGCTCATATCGTGTGCTGAACAAAACCAGGGACACCACATTGGAGGAAATACTATGGAACATTACGTTAGGGCTTATAGTTTTACCTAAATGAAAACAAAACAGAAATGTGCAATTATGGCACCATTTAGTGTCTGTATCTATAATTGTAGTTCATTTTTATAACTAAATGTTGGTTCAAATGCATTCACTCACCAGTATTCTTCTCCAGAAAATCTATGGTGTACTCTAGTTCTCCCAGAATCCTCTCCTCCATTGACTGTTTGCCCATTCCAAAGTTCCTCATGGTGGTTAAAGCAAAGCGACGATGCTCCTTCCAGGCGGGACCATAGTCAGCCAAAATCACCCCTAAAACAATGCTACAGTTAAAGGGGATATATTTTAATTAGCTTTTAACCATATTATAAAGGTGTTCCTTCATCATTAGCTTACTCAAAGTTTTATTTTGAGTAATTTATTGTTTGAGTAATCCTACTTTGTCCTGCTCAGAAAATTCCTGTTTTCTCCTTACCCCCCCCCCCAAAACATAAAATAAAATAAAAATTAGGCTTGATCTGGACTTTATATTTCCTTATTAAGAAATTTTACTTTGCAATATTATTAATAATAACTAATAGGAAACAATGAATATTATAATGCTTATATAAAAGCTTATTGTGTCAATGTTTTAAAAAGCAGTTAAAAATGTCAGAGCGTCAACAATGTGAAAAATTAACCCACCCACTGAGCTCCATAGCCTAAACTGTTGGATACCGACACCTACCTCTTCTCTCTACGACGTCGTTCATGAACATGTCCTGAGGTCGTCCGGCAAAGTCCACAGCCTTGTTAACTAGAGCCTCCTTCAGAGCCTGGGTCCCACTCACCACCACAGCAGCTCTGGGCCCCATGTACAGGCTGTAGATGTTCCCATAAGTCTTCCTCAACTGACAACAATACCAAACCCATGAAACAAGCATTAGCGATTTGTTCTGACTTCTGCTCTCCCTCATCAGATATAAAATTATGACAGATACTTGAAAAATGTAGAGGTCCTACTGTATATTACACACAACTGATTCTCACTTTAAGCCCTGTTAGAATATATTTAGTTTCATTATGACATGTTTGAGTAAACCTTTATTAATCTGTACATCTCCAAAGCTCAAAGTGCTCAAAGTGCAGCTACCCTTTACCTTTAGTTCAGTAGAGATAGGGAATTACAGGGCTGAAATGATCCAAATGATTCTAGTGAAGGTGTATAGAGTTTAAAAACATAGTGGAGCACTTCTTGTATTGTCACAAAACATCACAAGGTGGAACAATGTTTTCTGTCTGAGAGAATAACCTAAATATGCAAGATTTAATTATTATTTATTTAATGCAATCCTGTATTCTGTACTGGCTTGTGTGGCCATACCGGCTTGTTATAGCCTGATCTCATCAGATCTCAGAAGCTAAGCAGGGCCGGGCCTGGGTAGCACTTGGATGAGAGACTGGAGGGAATCCCAGGTGCCACAGTGGGGCACCAGCCACAAAAACTGCTGTTGCGTCCTTAGGCAAGGCATTTCACCCACATTGCCTAGTATGAAAGTGGTGTGTGCGTGAGTGATGTTGGTGGTCAGAGGGACCGATGGGACAGATTGGCAGTCGCACTTCCGTCAGTCAGGGCAGCTGTGGCTACAATAGTAGCTTACCTTCACCAGGTATGGAGTGAATGGCCAATGCTCTGTAAAGCGTATTTGTGTCATATGTCTGTGAAAAGTGCTAAATAAAGAAAAACTTACTTCTCCATTCTTCTTTCACTGTCTTACCTATGTGAAAACAGTACTAACTTTAGTTCATTTTAAAAGGTTTCTAGTGGTCCAAAGTTACTCACTTTCATGACACATTTCTACCATCCTAATTTATCGCACCAGCCTTACTTCTTACTTGGCAATGATAAAAATGCTTCATAATTAGATACTTCTTAAAACAGTCAAAACTATTCCTATGCCCCAAAACAGCATCATAGAGGACTTGATAAGCTTGCATAAATATATGGAGAACAAGTTAGTAGTTAGTAACATTATAAAAAATACGAATCACCAAACATATTAAAGAAGGCAAACAATAAGAATAATGTATTAACATCTAAGGTCAAAAAGTTTCTCAAAGTAAAAAAAAATCAGTGTCTATGGAAATTGAAAGCACTTTTACATCAAGGTACTAAACGCACACACACGTTATAACCCCCTTTGTGCATAGACATTGGAGACAGTGTGGTTGAGGCGTCTCTTTCCCAAGAACACAACAGCAGTGTGTACCAGAAGAAGTGTGGATTGAACTATCAACCTTTGGGTTCTAGGGAGATTGCATCTCCAACTAAACTACAACTGAGCTACATGGGAAGCTTAAACGTGCACTGTGTAACTTTTCTGTCCAGGTATAGGGTTCACTACTTGCTCATTTTCCTTTGCAAAAAATGTTCCACAATATGACATTAAGTGTACCTATCTTCATGGAGATGAGCAAGTTGCACCACCAGGCCAAGTTACGGATCAGATCTGTGGAGAGGTGATCCTGCTCACAATTTTGCATATAGTGTGAACATTGTAGACAAAGCAATATCTCTTTTAACACTTCGCAGCTGGTTCCATCAAAATTCCCTGGGGGGTGTGATGCTAACTGTAGGATCTACTCTGTCTGAGGCTTTGTTACTCAAGTGAGACATTAATCTGTGTTTTCTTACTAGAAATAACTGACTTAGTTGGAACCAGAACAGGTGAGCAGATTAGTGCAAACAATTACAGTCACATTCGTTTTTAGTCACTCTCACCTTTTTGTTGAAGGACCATGAACATTCATATGGGTCACAGGCTCCTGAAAATGTGTTGTTTAAAACCATTTTGAGGTTCCAGACAATTTTAAAACTTTGACAGTGTTTGCTAATGTGTGCATTGCATCACCCTGGTAACTAGAACACCCCCTGCGTCACGTCACTGCAACACAATGAACTTTTGAAGTCGATTGATCTTTGACAAAACAGAACTTGAATGGGACAGCGCCCTATATGTGGTCTGCATCTGATTTGGCACATTTCTGCAATGTGGTCAACAATACATTCCACAGTCTAATTTGATTGTTTTTGTGAATTGCAGGAAGTGGAAAGTGGAAGAGTGCATTTGAGGTTACATGGGCTGGACCAAAGAGTGTTGTGCATGTTAAAACAGGACTATGAAAGACAAAACAAATACAGGCTGTGCATTCAACTAGCTAGAGTTACGTAATATTATAAGCTGAAGTAGTGGTTTTCTAAAAATCTATAAAACATTGCAAGATATTAGAACAATTATTGGGAAAAATTTAGAATTTTCTTAAATGACTGGCTGAGAAACAAGCCTGAAATTAAATTTTTTTGGAGTGCATGCACGGTTAAAGTTGCACTATGTTACAATTCTGATGAAGGGCCCACCCCATGTTTGTCTCAATGGTAACTGTGTTGTTTTTCCTGAAAACTCTAATGTTTTTTTTCTATCTCTTTGAAGACAGGCAAGTGACGCCAGAAACTTTATAGTGCACCTAATTGAAACATGATAAAAAATGGGTTGTAAAATATAATGCATGCTTTAGGGTAAATAGAAATAAAAAACACTAAAGTCTATATGGTTCAAAGTTATAAAAATGTCATAGACTTGACCAAAAAAAATGCAGTTTGGAGAATACAAGGATTTCAATGTGCTCTCATACCTTCTCTATGTCATCCAAAGGGTTACTAGGTCTCAGATTGTGCATGTTCCCGGAAAATGGCAGCACGATAGGTCCAGGAGGGAAGTTCTTGGGTCGTTGAGTCTTAAGATGTATGATGAGGAAGACTATGATGATGCCCAACAGCAGCACAGAGACAATCATCGTGACAGGAGATAGAGGAGAGATTGGAGAGAGGAGAGTCGATCAGTGAAGTCAGCTCTGTATGAAGAGAGACTGGGAAGGTTCAAAACAGTCTGTAAAGCCCCGCCTCCTGTGGTAGTCTACAGTTTGTGATAAAAAGGGAAATTCTAATGTGAAGGGAGAGATTCAGAGCAACTATGTAGCCTTGTGAGAGACTGGTGCAAAACGATGTGTGGGAGTCTATGATTAGTCTCCATGTCAATCATAAACTGAATATATAAATTGGCATATCTAACCAGCTAGCAGCAATTTGTGAAGAAAAGTCTAAAACAAAAAAATTATCGAACACAGGAAGGAGCAGTGAGTCCTAAAATGGAATCCCACTATCTTTGTTATTAACCTTCGTCAATTCCATTCAAAAGGCAGAAACAATTTACACACAAAACATTTTTCTTTAAATATTGAATTAAATAAAGATGATGCAATTTATTTTTAATTGTCAAATCATAATGATTGCGTAATGTAGACAAGTTTTGTCACTTGTTAATATGGTTGTTAACATATCTCATATACCTCATACCCATACCAACCAGTAAGTAAAATTACAAAACTAAAGATCATAGGTAATGTTTCATTAAAACCTTGAATCTAATGAACTATGTATTAGGGAAATTAATAGTCTAACCTGTCTTTTACTGCACATTAATTTGTAAGTTTGTTCAGTAAAGTTTTTTATCAGTCTATGGCACGGGAGACCTACACAACTCCAGTCTCACCGCAGATGCACTCAATAATTCTTCTCTTACTGCAGTTACTTCAAATGAACACATGATAGCGCCACTCTTACCAAAACTAGCAGTGTGCTGATACTGGTCACTGATTCAGTCTAATAAATTGGTTCACATAAGTGAGCAAAGAACAGGCTGAATATAAAGGACCAAATAAACTCATTCCACTGTAAACCTGCCCTAAACTTATTCTAAATAATTTATAATCAGACATGGGCAGAATAGCCTTATATAGTAAAATTAAATCATTTGACTCAGGTAGAAGTACAAAGTAGTGGTTCAACAAAAGTATTTGGGGAAACTACTACTCAAGCAACTGAAAATCCCTCAATGGACCAGGGCCAGTTTGCTGTTTGTGCAGAAAATTCTTCCCACGTTGAATGCTGTGATCAGAAACTTTGTGTGTAAGTTTATGAATCGCCTTGAGGACTTACAAAATGAAATTATGAAAGTTTTAATAATAATGCCTGAGCAGAACAGTGTCAGGTAGGTACATCTCTGAACTCTGGAGGCACTGGAGGAACTACTTAAAAAGATATGCTTAAATATTATTGTTGTATTGTGCGTCTTCTGTTTTTTAAATGTTCTATATGGATCCCCTGCAGTCTGAAATAAAGCTTGACTGATTGCCTGATCAACAATAACTTTAAGTTGACCTGAAGTTAATTTAATTTAATTTAATAATGCACAAAATCTGGTATTTTTAAAGGATAGAGACAAAATCCATATCTGAAGAATTGTAAGAAACACAAATGTTCACATCATTTCATTATCATTATTGTCAATAAAAAGCTTTTGTCACTTGTAGGTTTACTCACAGTCAGGAGAGTAACCAAAATGTTTACTCAGGTAAGAGTATACTGTTGCTTCAATTAAAAACAAAACAAAACAAAAAACCCCGAAACATATTAAATGAAAACATTTAAAATTTGAAACTTAAAAAAAAAAAGTGAAAAATAAAAATAGTTAATTTTAAACCATTTTACAAATGTATTGCTCACTTACCTACATAGCATCTGAGCATCCTATATTTACTGCAATTAGTTTATTTTTCACAAATTTGAGAGACCAGAGTAGAATCACAATAACAACTAGTATGACAACTAATAATAACTAGTATGCTAATGGAACACTTCCTGTTTCCTGATAAATAAAATGCTCTATAATAAGCTTTTACTTAATGCTATCACATGAGAAAAATGGGGTGCATGGCCTTTAAGGGAAATTGTATTCCAAGTTGCCCTACAGTTCAATGAAATATGATCTGTTATCCCATCATGTTAACCAAACTTTTTCATCTAATCTCCACTTTCATGTTGTATGGTTTTGGCGTCATGGTGATGCCAAACACTGGAGTAAAGTCAGGCTCTCCTGCATCCTCAGGCCAAATGAACCTAAACTTCCTCAGAAGAGTCACCATGATGAGGAAGAGCTCCATACGGGCCAGGCCTTCTCCCAAACACACTCGAAGACCTGGACAAAAACATAGAACATTACCTAAAAGATATACTTATACTTACAATTGTCCATGTTTTAGTGCTGATTGAACTTCTGTACCAGCAGAGAAGGGCAGGAAGGCATCTGGTTTGACAAACTCTCCCTTGTGGTTGAGAAAATTTTCAGGGTTGAATTCATGAGGAAACTTCCACTGTCCCTCCTCACTGAGCGCTGACGACAGGTTGGGGATGACAATAGTGCCCTAGGACCAAAGTCGAATGATTTTATTATTTCATCTGTCTCGTTTAGAATATGTGCAGTTGTATTTGTGGACAAGTATCTGCTTACTTTAGGAATAGAGTAGCCCATAAGCTCTGTGTCTCTGGTGGTTGAATGGAATGGGCCGAGAGGAACAGTGTTGGCAGTTCTCTGAACTTCGTGAATAACTGCCTAAAAAAGTAGATGATAGCAGTTTGAACACAGTATTTATTTTCAGTATAGTTGCTAAATTTTTACCTGGACATAAGGCATGTTGTGTCTGTCTTCAAATGTGACTAAGTCCTTCCCCTCGAGGACTCGGTCTATCTCCTGCTGACAGCGTTCTACATGGGGAAAAGAGAAACTTTTAATTTGGTGAAGAGGCTGGAATACCCAAATGGTCCTAGCAGCTACATATATAGGGGCTTCATGTCCCCAAAATCTGTCAAAAAGACAGGCTGGGCTTAAAGGTCCATCATGTCATTTTTCTGGTGGAGATCTGCATTTTGCTTATGTCCATCAAGAACTTACTGTTTTTTCTGGAATGTTCCAGAGTATTACACAATGTTGGCCAAATTACTTTGCATAAGTAGTTAAATTACTGATTGCTGATTACTCCTTTTAAAAGTAACGTAATTACTACTCTAATTAATTAGTTTCAAAATGACTACTATAAGTTACTTTCAGTTACTCAAGCAGAGGCGACGTGCACAGTACTCCTTAAACCAATATTTATGCTGTTTTGGTTTACAGCTGATTTGCCTGAAGAGGAGAAGATCCTGCGCTTGTTAATCATTACTGTTTTATGACACAGTTCTAGTAGATTACCCACATTTATGGCAGGGAAAAAGTAACTAAAAGTTGCTAGTCCAAGTAAGTGTAATCTACTAGTTACTCCACAACACTGATGGACAGTGCTCCACAAGGCCATATTACAGATGTACATCTCCCTGGAGACAAGCAAGTAGCAGACCCTTCATCAGGAAAAGTTAGAGTGCACAGTAACAAGCCCGATTAATTGGGCCTGACCTGGCGATCCCTATTGTTTTCCTTGTTTTGATTTACTATATTTTCCGGGCTATTAGATGCGCTCTTAAGCCTCCAACCCCATCAAAAAACGATTGCGCGCCCCGCAATCCAGAACGCCCCATACACGAATCCACTCGGGTGTCCCAGCCCACGACCCACGACTTCAGTAAACTACAAATTCGCACCACCTGCTGCGCATGCAAACATGCATGGAGCAGACAGCAACCGCACAGCGAAACACACTCACAGCCACACTCATCACTCCATGCGGATGAGGAATGGAATGGAGAAACGAACTGAACAAGCGAGTGCAATGTGCCACTCTAAGCCACAACTGAACAACTGAGTCACTGTGAACGTGCCACAACTGAACAAAGCCGAGAGTTACCGTGAAAGCACCAAACAAAGTCCGACAGAGTCATCTAACTGTTGTGTTTCATTTAAAATACGGTGCGGTTTATTTGTGAAAAAAGTTAGAAAATAGACCTTTTAATGACAGTGCACCTTATAATCCAGTGCGCCTAATAGCCTGGAAAATACAATAGGTTTGAAGATGGAATAACTATTCCTTACGTGGCTGGTGTTTCTGAAAAATTACAGAGGATTTTCAGACATAAACATAAAATCCCAGTCTATTTCAAACCTACAAACACTTTAAGACAGAAACTGGTCCACTCAAAGGAGAAAACACTGAGCCACAAACAAAGCAATGTGGTCTACTCCATTCAGTGAAGTGCAAACTACAGTAAGCACTACACTGGAGAAACAAAACAGCCACTTATCAAGAGGATGTACCAACACAGATGAGAGAGCAATAGTGGACCTCAGTCTGCTGTACATCTCCATCTAAAAGCCTGTGAGGTACAGATCCTAGCCAGAGAAAAGAACTGGTTTGAGAGGGGAGTTAAAGAAGCTATTTTTGTTAGGAAAGACAATCCACCTTTGAACAGAAATGGGGGCTCAGACACCACCTATCTCCTATTTACAACTCCATCCTCAAACCTAAATCAAAACAAGCAAAGAAAACAATAGCGATAGCCAGGTCAGGTCCAGAGGTGTGAAAGCACCCTTTATGGCCCTGAATGATTATAATAATTAGACCCCACACTCAATGCAAGATCAATAGGCTTAGCTAACTAACAGAAATTGTAAACAAGTAGATGTGTTAGTTTCAGAGGAGTTTCATTGAATGCATTTGACCAAATAAACGTTTGTCCAGTTGACAAATAGAATTTTTCCATTTGCCATCTTGTTGAAAATCCCCCTCCTTGAATCGTCACCTTATTATGGTGGAGGGGTTTGAGTGCCCGAATGATCCCGGGAGCTATGTTGTTGGGGGCTTCATGCCCCTGCTAGGGTCACCCAAGGCAAACAGGTCTGGGGGGAATGGTTCAGAAGCCCTATATGATGACTACACCAGCAAGGCCAGTTACGTCGCCCGGATTGGCGTCACCGGGGCCTCACCCTGGAGCCAGGCCTGGGGTGGGTGTTCGCCAGCGAGCGCCTGGTGGCCGGGCCTCCCCCCATGGGGCCCGGCCGGGCTCAGCCCGAAGGAGCGACGTAAGGCCGTCCTCAAGTGGGCACACCACCCGTGGGAGGATCCATATGGGGCCGGTGCAGAGAGATCTGGGCAGCAGTCGACGGCGGGGGCCTCGACGACCGGATCTCCGGACATGGAGACTAGCTCTGGGGACATGGAGTCACCTCGCTGGGGGGGAAGGAGCCTGAGCTTGTGCGGGAGGTTGAGCGTTACCGACTAGATATAGCCTCACCTCCACGCACAGTTTGGGCTCTGGAACCCAACTCCTTGAGAGGGGCTGGACTCTCCATTTCTCTGGCGTTGGCCGCGGGGAGCGGCGGCGGGCTGGTGTGGGCCTGCTCATTGCCCCACAGCTCAGCCGCCGTGTGTTGGAGTTCACCCCGGTGAACGAGAGGGTCGCGTCCCTGCGCCTTCGGGTTGGGGACAGGTTTCTCACTGTGGTGTCGGCCTATGGGCCGAACAGCAGAGCAGAGTACCCGGCCTTCTTGGAGTCCTTGGGAGGGGTACTAGACAGTGCACCGACCGGGGACTCCGTTGTTCTCTTGGGGGACTTCAACGCCCACGTGGGCAATGACAGTGACACTTGGAGAGGGGTGATTGGGAGGAACGGCCTCCCTGATCTGAACCCGAGTGGTGTTTTGTTATTGGACTTCTGTGCTAGTCACAGTTTGTCAATAACAAACACCATGTTCGAGCACAAGGGTGTCCATAAGTGCACGTGGCACCAGGACACCCTAGGCCGGAAAGTCGGTGATCGACTTTGTAGTTGTGTCATCTGATCTCCGGCCGCGTGTCTTGGACACTCGGGTGAAGAGAGGGGCTGAGCTGTCAACTGATCACCACCTAGTTGTGAGTTGGGTTCGCTGGCGAAGGAGGAAGCCAGAAAGACCTGGCAGGCCCAAGCGTGTAGTGAGGGTCTGTTGGGAACGTCTGGCGGAGCCCTCTGTCGGAGGGACTTTCAACTTCCAACAGCCTCCGGGAGGACTTCTCCCGGATTCCGGGGGAGGCCGGAGATATGGAGTCCGAGTGGGCTTCATTCTCGGCCTCTATTGTCAATGCGGCTGCTCGGAGCTATGGGCGTAAGGTCTGTGGTGCCTTTCGCGGCAGCAACCCCAGAACCCGGTGGTGGACACCGGAAGTAAGGGATGCTGTCAAGCTGAAGAAGGAGTCCTATCGGGCCTTGCTGGCTCGGGGGACTCCTGAGGCAGCTGATGGATACCAGCGGGCAAAGCGTGCTGCAGCCCGTGTGGTCGCGGAGGCAAAAACTCGGAGCTGGGAGGAGTTCGGGGAGGCCATGGAGAAGGACTATCGGACGGCCTCAAAGAGATTCTGGCAAACCGTCCGGCGCCTCAGGAGGGGAAAGCAGTTCTTCACCAACACTGTTTACAGTGCGGGGGGAGAGCTGTTGACCTCGACTGGGGACGTTGTCCGGCGGTGGAAGGAATACTTTGAGGATCTCCTCAATCCTACCGTCACGTCTTCCGAGGAGGAAGCCGAGGCTGGGGACTCGGAGGCGGACTCATCCATCACCCTGGCTGAAGTCACTGAGGTGGTTGGCAAGCTCCTTGGTGGCAAGGCTCCGGGGGTGGATGAGATCCGTCCTGAGTACCTTAAGTCTCTGGATGTTGTGGGGCTGTCTTGGCTGACACGCCTCTTCAACATCGCGTGGCGGTCGGGGACAGTACCTCTGGACTGGCAAACCGGGGTGGTGGTCCCTCTGTATAAGAAGGGGGACCGGAGGGTGTGTTCCAACTACAGGGGAATCACACTTCTCAGCCTTCCCGGTAAGGTCTATGCCAGGGTACTGGAGAGGAGAATCCGGCCGATAGTCGAACCTCAGATCCAGGAGGAGCAGCGTGGTTTTTGCACTGGCCGTGGAACACTGGACCAGCTCTACACTCTCCATCGGGTGCTCGAGGGTTCATGGGAGTTTGCCCAACCAGTCCACATGTGTTTGTGGATCTGGAGAAGGCATTCGACCGTGTCCCTCGTGGTGTCCTGTGGGGGGTGCTCTGGGAGAATGGGGTCCGGGGCCCTTTGCTAAGGGCTGTCCAGTCCCTGTATAACCGGAGCAGGAGCTGTGTTCGCATTGCCGGCAGTAAGTCAGACCTGTTCCCGGTGCATGTTGGACTTCGCCAGGGCTGCCCTTTGTCACCGGTTCTGTTCATTGTATTTAAGGACAGAATTTCTAGGCGCAGTCAGGGGCCGGAGGGGGTCCGGTTTGGGGACCACAGGATCTCAGCTCTGCTGTTTGCGGACGATGTTGTTCTGTTGGCTTCATCGGGCCAGGACCTGCAATGTGCACTGGGGCGGTTTGCACCTGAGTGTGAAGCGGCTTGGATGAAGATCAGCTCTTCCAAGTCCGAGGCCATGGTTCTCGACCGGAAAAAGGTGGCTTGCCCTCTCCGGGTGGGTGGAGAGTCCCTGCCTCAAGTGGAGGAGTTCAAGTATTTCGGGGTCTTGTTCACGAGTGAGGGGAGGACGGAACGTGAGATTGACAGGCGGATCGGTGCAACTTCGGCAGTGATGCGGTCGCTGTATCGGACCGTTGTGGTGAAGGGGGAGCTGAGCCGAAAGGCGAAGCTCTTGATTTACTGGTCAGTCTTCGTTCCTACTCTCACCTATGGTCATGAGCTCTGGGTAGTGACCGAAAGGACGAGATTGTGGATACAAGCGCTCGAAATGAGTTTCCTCCGCAGGATGGCTGGGCGCTCCCTTAGAGATAGGGTGAGGAGCTCAGTCACACGGGAGGAGCTCGGAGTAGAGCCGCTCCTCCTCCACGTCGAGAGGAGCCAGTTGAGGTGGCTTGGGCATCTGTTCCGGATGCCTCCTGGACGCCTCCCTCGGGAGGTGTTCCGGGCATGTCCCACCGGGAGGAGGCCCCGGGGAAGACCCAGGACACGCTGGAGGGACTATGTCTCTCGGCTGGCCTGGGAACGTCTCGGGGTTCCCCCGGAGGAGCTGGAGGACGTGTCTGGGGTGAGGGAAATCTGGGAGTCCCTGCTTAGGCTGCTGCCCCTGCGACCCGGCCCCGGATAAGCGGACGAAAATGGATGGATGGATGGATCTTGTTGAAAATCATTATATTGTTTTGTCAATGATTTGATCCAACAGGAGGACGCATAACCATTGCGCCCATGCTCTTTCATATGGCAGAGGACTCCAGTAGATCATATTTAAACATGCAGGTGTTTTACCCTGAATATGTGGTCTGGCCATGAGGTAGAGGAAGCCAAACAGCAATGTATTGGATGTAGTGTCTGTCCCTCCCACATATAGGAGCAGGCAGTACATCAGCAGTTCCTCAGAGGAAAATGAAGAATTGTCATTGCATCTCTGTTGAAAAGGATCATTAAATAAAAGCTCAGCATTACAGTTTTGGGGTAAATAATTTGGCAGAGTACATTTAAAAATAATATGGTCACAAACCTTCTCCAGTTCATCCAGATAGCTGTCCACAAAGTCCCGAGGTTCTCCTGGCACTCTGGTCTTCTTGTGTTCCTCAATCACTGGGATAGTCATGTTTTTTACTCTCTGAGACATACAAACAACAAAATGCACACACACACAGACACACACACACACACACACACACACACATATATAAAGTACAAATTTGATGATATTGTATTGTATAATTATTTGTATAATGATTAATACTTAAGTTTGAAGAACAGACTTACCTGCATTGCATCAAACGCTTTAGTAAAGGGCAATGGCAAGCTGCGAACCCAATGGAAACTGTCATGAAGCTAATGGGAAAAAAATGTAACAATGTTTACATAAAATTTATTTACAAACAGTTGCAAACTTTAGTCACTCACCAAAGCCCAGGGTCCGTTGGCCATTTTGGTAATCTCACAGAAAGAGTTCACAAGTGTTATAATAAACTCCTCATTATGCTCATATCGTCTATTGAACAGAACTTGGCAGACCACATTTGAGGCGACTGTATGAAACATGATTTCGGGGCTCAGAATTTTTCCTAAAAAACAAAAAACAAGTTTGGGTGGCATCTAATGGATACGTCTTTCAATACACCTGAAAGACTGGCTTGTTTTGGGTAGAATAAATAATCTACCAATGCAGTCATCGATGGGTAATAGGGCTTAACAATTTGAGAAAAATATCTAACTGCGATTTTTCTGACATGCATTGGGATAGCATGGAGTCCCTAAAGGCCCCTAAAATCTTATATTTTTCAATACTATTTTATTTTTTTAGGGGCTCCATACTACCACAACTTAATACTTAAACACAAACTGAAAATTATGTATATAAGAACGTGTTTGTACAGATTTAAACAACAGGGTTAGCAGTTTTTATGCAGAAGAAGACAGGATATTTTGTTGTTTACGGAGGAAATTATTATAGTTTACAAATTGCAGCCTTTGCCATTTCTGTCCATTCATATAGCAATTTAGATTTGATTGTGCGTCATCTTGCAGCCCTCACTCAAACTCTGCAAAAGTATGACTGAGCTGGTGTATTTCAGACTTCATTCATGACTGACATGGTAGATTATTCTTTTAGACTAGCAGAGGTAGAGAGCATATTCTGCTTTCTTTACTTTTATTACTCACCACTATTCTTCTCCAGATGATCAATGGTGTACTGTAGTTCTCCCAGAATCCTCTGCTCCATTGACTGTTTGCCCAAACCAAAGTTCCTCATGGTCATTATTGCAAAGCGACGATGCTCCTTCCAGGACGGACCGTAGTCAGCAAGAAGTACACCTACAGCAGACCATAGTATTATTATGCTTTTGGCTAAATCTCACAAAATAAAAATAGAGACCATGCTAGTTATTGACTGAAATGTAAAGATTCTCAGTTCTTAGCGTTACCTCTCCTCTCAGTGATATTGGTCATGAACGTGTCCTGAGGTCGTCCGGCAAAGTCCACAGCTTTGTTAACTAGAGCCTCCTTCAGAGTCTGGGTCCCACTCACCACCACAGCAGCTTTGGGCCCCATGTACAGGCTGTAGATGTTTCCATAAGTTCTCCTCAACTGGAAACAATACCAAACCCATGAAGCAAACATTAACAATTCTGCTCTCTCCCTCATCAGATAGTAAATGATGACAGATAGCTACAAAATTTCAATTTTCATCCTTATCAACAACAAAAGTTTCTAAACCCTGATACAAGTTTTAGGTGACATACTGTACTATATCACGAAAGAGTGTGAAGAGACATTCAACAAACTCACAAACCTCGCTTTAAAGGTGCTGTAGGTTTGTTAATTTTTACTGCCTTAAAAACATGAAAAACTGAAGCAGTTCATGTTAAAAGGTTTGCAGTGGTCCAAAGTAACTCATTTTCAATATGCATTTCTAGCATTCCAATTTGTGGTCACTTAATTCTAACAACACACCAGCCACAGTTGGTAATGATAAAAACGCTTTATGATTTTGTGAACTGCAGGAAGTGAAAAGTGGAAGGGTGCGTTTGAGGTTACATGGGCTGGACCAAGAAAACAGGACTAAACAAACAGCCAAAACAAATATAGATTGCACATTCAACTAGCTACTGTTATGTAATATTAATATTATGTAAGTTGAAGCCCTGGTTTTCGAAAATATATAAGACATTATCTTACAGAAATATAAATATATAATTTGCTCAAATGCCTGGCAGTGAAACAAATCTGAAATGCCATAGTAAACGAGGAACTTTTTGAGTGCATGCATGGTTTGCTCATTAAAGTTGCACCATGTAACTTTTCTCATGAAAATCCCACTACATGTTTGTCTCCATGGTGAATGCATTGCTTTTTTCCATCTCTTTGAAGACAGGCAAGTGAGTAACACCAGCAGAAGTTTTATAGTGTACCTAAGTGATACAATCTAAATTAAAAGAATAAAAAACTAATAATAATAAAAGAAAGCTATAAAACATGTTGAAAATGGGTTATGAAATGCAATGTATGATTCTGAGAAATGAAAACAAACCTCATACCTTCTCTATGTCATTCAAAGGGTTACTTGAGAACAGATTGTGCATGTTTCCCAAAAATGGCAGCACGATAGGTCCAGGAGGGAAGTTCTTGGGTCGTCGAGACTTAAGATGTATGATGAGGAAGACTATGATGATGCCCAACAGCAGCACAGAGACAATCATCGTGACAGGAGATAGAGGAGAGATTGGAGAGAGGAGAGTCGACCAGTGAAGTCAGCTCTGTATGAAGAGAGACTGGGAAGGTTCAAAACAGTCTGTAAAGTCCTGCCTCCTGTGGTAGTCTACAGTTTGCAATAAAAAGGGAAATTCTAATGTGAAGGGAGAGATTCAGAGCAACTATGTAGCCTTGTGAGAGACTGGTGCAAAACGATGTGTGGGAGTCTATGATTAGTCTCCATGTCAATCATAAACTGAATATATAAATTGGCATATCTAACCAGCTAGCAGCAATTTGTGAAGAAAAGTCTAAAACAAAAAAATTATCGAACACAGGAAGGAGCAGTGAGTCCTAAAATGGAATCCCACTATCTTTGTTATTAACCTTCGTCAATTCCATTCAAAAGGCAGAAACAATTTACACACAAAACATTTTTTCTTTAAAAATTGAATTAAATAAAGGTGATGTAATTTATTTTTAATTGTCAAATCATAACGATTGCGTAATGTAGACAAGTTTTGGCACTTGTTAATATGGTTGTTAACATATCTCATATACCTCATACCCATACCAACCAGTAAGTAAAATTACAAAACTAAAGATCATAGGTAATGTTTTCATTAAAACCTTGAATCTAATGAACTATGTATTAAGGAAATTAATAGTCTAACCTGTCTTTTACTGGCACATTAATTTGTAAGTTTGTTCAGTAAAGTTTTTTATCAGTCTATGGCACGGGAGACCTACACAACTCCGGTCTCACCGCAGATGCACTCAATAATTCTTCTCTTACTGCAGTTACTTCAAATGAACACATGATAGCGCCACTCTTACCAAAACTAGCAGTGTGCTGATGCTGGTCACTGATTCATTCTAATAAATTGGTTCACATAAGTGAGCAAAGAACAGGCTGAATATAAAGGACCAAATAAACTCATTCCACTGTAAACCTGCTCTAAACTTATTCTAAATATTTTATAATCAGACATGGGCAGAATAGCCTTATATAGTAAAATTAAATCATTTGACTTTGGTTCAACAAAAGTATTTGGGAAACTACTACTCAAGCAACTGAAAATCCCTCAATGGACCAGGGCCAGTTTGCTGTTTGTGCAGAAAATTCTTCCCACGTTGAATGCTGTGATCAGAAACTTTGTGTGTAAGTTTATGAATCGCCTTGAGGACTTACAAAATGAAATTATGAAATGTAAGAGTATACTGTTGCTTCAATTAAAAACAAAACAATACAAAAAAACCCGAAACATATTAAATTAAAACATTTAAAATTTGAAACTTAAAAAAAGTGAAAAATAAAAATAGTTAATTTTAAACCATTTTACAAATGTATTGCTCACTTACCTACATAGCATCTGAGCATCCTATATTTACTGCAATTAGTTTATTTTTCACAAATTTGAGAGACCAGAGTAGAATCACAATAACAACTAGTATGACAACTAATAATAACTAGTATGCTAATGACACACTTCCTGTTTCCTGATGAATAAAATGCTCTATAATAAGCTTTTACTTAATGCTATCACATGAGAAAAATGGGGTGCATGGCCTTTAAGGGAAATTGTATTCCAAGTTGCCCTACAGTTCAATGAAATATGATCTGCTATCCCATCATGTTAACCAAACTTTTTCATCTGATCTCTACTTTCATGTTGTACGGTCTTGGCGTCATGGTGATGCCAAACACTGGAGTAAAGTCAGGCTCTCCTGCATCCTAAGGCCAAATGAAGCTAAACTTCCTCAGAAGAGTCACCATGATGAGGAAGAGCTCCATACGGGCCAGGCCTTCTCCCAAACACACTCGAAGACCTGGACAAAAACATAGAACATTACCTAAAAAATATACTTATACTTACAATTGTCCATGTTTTAGTGCTGTTTGAACTTCTGTACCAGCAGAGAAGGGCAGGAAGGCATCTGGTTTGACAAACTCTCCCTTGTGGTTGAGAAAATTTTCAGGGTTGAATTCATGAGGAAACTTCCACTGTCCCTCCTCACTGAGCGCTGACGACAGGTTGGGGATGACAATAGTGCCCTAGGACCAAAGTCGAATGATTTTATTATTTCATCTGTCTCGTTTAGAATATGTGCAGTTGTATTTGTGGACAAGTATCTGCTTACTTTAGGAATAGAGTAGCCCATAAGCTCTGTGTCTCTGGTGGTTGAATGGAATGGGCCGAGAGGAACAGTGTTGGCAGTTCTCTGAACTTCGTGAATAACTGCCTAAAAAAGTAGATGATAGCAGTTTGAACACAGTATTTATTTTCAGTATAGTTGCTAATTTTTTAATGTGATAGTATCGGGTTTATAGGTCACAAACCTACCTATAAAAGGGGCGCTATGCGCTACGCTCGCCCCTCCCTCCTGAACTCCGACCGCTGACGTCGCAAGCTGGCGGAGCTAAGCTGTCATGGCCGCAAGATGCGAGGCCTCGAGTGGACCACGTTTAGGCGCACTAAGTTTACTGTTGCAAGGTGTTCAGCACAGTAATTGCAGAGAGTGTGCGGGCATCGTGGGCGTAAGTGGGGAAATCGTCTTGCTGGCTCAGTAACGCCGTGCGTGAGGTTAACGCGGGTTGTGTTTTGTAGCATTTGTGTCTCGGCGCTGGGCGGTCCTCTGCGTGTTTGGGTGGCGTGCCGCGGTGAATTCTACACGGTATGTCGCTATGGTTTATTTTGTGTTCCTCTTTGTCGTGTGTATTGTATGTTACATGTAACATGTTATATTTAGGCTCCTGCTGGCGGGAAGCCTCCCCTTTTCTCTTTTTCTTTCACCGTGTACCCGGTCTGTTCGGTGGTCGTGGCCCTTGGTGAAAGGACTCGCTCTCTGAAGTCTCCGTTTTGTGGAAAGCCCTACTGCGAGTCTCCAAGAGGCACAATATTCTTCTGATAATGGTCCTAAGGTAATTCCAAGCAACAAGGCCATGCGATCCAATGGACAATGAATGCACAGGACTGGTCGAGGATGTATGTGATTAACCCTTTGCAAAAAAATGGATAATAAATTCAATGTAAAGTATATTCAAGTCTCATGCCATATTCAGTCAACGAACCTGTGTTTGTATAGTGGGTGGTGAAAAACACTGTGTCCTGGTATTACCAGGTGGTGTTGTTGGCAACTTTACTACCTTGAAGTACACTTACAAATATGCCGCTCTGCTACACCTGGACATAAGGCATGTTGTGTCTGTCTTCAAATGTGACAGAGTCCTTCCCCTCGCGGACTCGGTCTATCTCCTGCTGACAGCGTTCTACATGGGGAAAAGAGAAACTTTTAATTTGGTGAAGAGTTTGGAGTACGCAAATGATCCTAGCAGCTACATATATAGGGGCTTCATGTCCCCAAAATCTGTCAAAAAGACAGGCTGACCTTAAAGGTCCATCATGTCATTTTTCTGGTGGAGATCTGCATTTTGCTTATGTCCATCAAGAACTTATTGTTTTTTCTGAAATGTTCCAGGGTATGACACAGTGTTGGCCAGATTACTTTACAAAATTAATCGAATTAATGACTACTGATACTACTGACTACTGAGACAAGCAAGTAGCAGACCCTCATCAGGAAAAGTTTCAAAGTGCACAGTAACAAGCCCGATCAATAAATAACATCTTGTTGAAAATCATTATCTTGTTTTGCCACTGATTTGATCCAACAGGGAGACACATAACCATTGCGCCCCCGTACACTTTCATATGGCAGAGGACTCCAGTAGATCATATTTAAACATGCAGGTGTTTTACCCTGAATATGTGGTCTGGCCATGAGGTAGAGGAAGCCAAACAGCAACGTATTGGATGTAGTGTCTGTCCCTGCCAGGTGTAGGAGCAGGCAGTACATCAGCAGTTCCTCAGAGGAAAATGAAGAATTGTCATTGCATCTCTGTTGAAAGAGATCATTAAATACAAGTTCAGCATGACAGTTTTGGGGTAAATAATTTGGTGGAGTAGATTTAAAAAATAATCTGGTCACATACCTTCTCCAGTTCATCCAGATAGCTGTCCATAGCATCCCAGTGACAGGTATGGCTCAGGGTTTGATAAACCCAAGTTTCCAGCATGGATAACCCAGGAGAAAACAATCAGGTGGAACCTGGTTGATGGTACATCATTCATCTTCTACATCTACTTTCCTCCGGCCAGGCTGGCGCCGCCACCTAGTACTTCTGCTGAATTTCATTTCTCTCCAGTGACTAGGTCAGGAATCGGAATACACTAGACGGTTTGCAAGAACCCCAGACGTTGACCGCGCACCGCACAATCAGCTGTGAGTTGTGAAGCCATGACGTCAAACTCAAGCGCCTGTCTGGGTCCCTTTGTGATAAACGAAGCCGTCGAGATGGATGTAAACGAAACCATGCATTCTGTGTTGGCATCGATTCCTGAGATCGAGGATTTAAAGCTGGAACAAAGAGAATGTTTGGTGAATTTTATCAAGGGAAAAGACGTTATTGCCCTAAATGTGTTTCTCACCTTCCACGGTGGTAGGTCCCTCATTCAGCTCGGGTCCTCTACCAGAGGCCTGGGAGCTTGAGAGTTCTGCGCAGTATCTTTGCTGTCCCCAGTACTGCACTTTTCTGGACTGAGATGTCTGTTGTTTTTCCCGGTATCTGTTGTAGCCACTCTTCCAGTTTGGGGGTTACAGTCCCGAGTGCTCCGATCACCACAGGCACCACTGATGCCTTTACTTTCCAGGCTCTCTCCAGCTCCTCCTTGAGCCCCTGGTATTTCTCTAGTTTCTCATGTTCCTTTTTCCTGATATCACCATCGCTTGGTATTGCGATGTCCACCACCATGGCTCTGCTCTGTTTCTTATCCACCACCACTATGTCTGGTTGGTTCGCCATCACCATTCTGTCTGTATCTGGAAGTCCCACAGGATCTTGGCTTGGTTGTTCTCCACAACCTTTGGAGGTGTTTCCCACCTTGATCTTGGGGTCTCCAGCCCATACTCTGCACAAATGTTTCTGTACACTATGCCCGCCACTTGGTTATGTCGCTCCATGTATGCTTTCCCTGACAGCATCTTACACCCTGCAGTTATGTGCTGGACTGTCTCAGGAGCCTCTTTGCACAGCCTACACCGTGGGTCTTGTCTGGGGTGGTAGTTCTGGGCCTCTATTGCTCGAGTGCCCAGGGCCTGCTCCTGAGTGTTTCATGTCTTAACATCTCTGGTCTGTATCTCCTCCTTTGGCCAGCTTACGATTCCTGCTGGGTATCTGATTACTAGCAGGGCGTAGCTGTTGATTGCCTGCACCTTGTTCTTGCCATTGAGCTGGCTTCTTAGGACTTGCCTCACTCTTTGCAGGTATTTGGCCGTAGCCGCTTTCCTTGTTGCCTCTTCAAGGTTGCCATTTGCTTGTGGGATACCAAGGTACATGTAACTGTCCTCAACGTCTGCTATTGTTCCCTCTCGGAGTGAGACCCCCTCTGTGTGGACTACCTTCCCTCTCTTTGTCACCATCCTGCTACATTTCTCAAGCCCGAATGACATCCCAATGTCTGTGCTGTAGATCCTTGTGGTGTGGATCAGTGAGTCGATGTCTCGCTCGCTCTTAGCGTACAGCTTGATGTCATCCATGTAGAGGAGGTGACTGATGGTGGCCCCGTTTCTGAGTCGGTATCCATAGCCAGTGCGGTCGATTATTTGGCTGAGGGGGTTCAGACCTATGCAGAACAGCAGTGGGGACGGTGAGTCTCCTTGGTATATGCCACATTTGATGGACACTTGTGCAAGTGGCTTCCCATTGGCTTCAAGGGTGGTTTTTCACAACCGCATCGAGTTTGCTGGTTCATTTGTGCTGCCAAGTGCTCATGGAGAGCAGTGAGCTTCTTTAGCCAGTATGCGTGGATCATGTCAGGGCCCGGTGCAGTCCAGCTTTTCATACCTAAGACTCTTTCTGCCACTGTGATGGTGACTGGATTCTGTTCAGGGAGGTTGCTGTGGTCTTCTCTCAGATCCACCAGCCACTGTGCATCTGTGTTATGTGATGCCTCCCTCTCCCATATGCCTTTCCAGTGCCTCTCAGTCTCCAGCTTTGGTGGATCTGCTCTGGTGTTATTACCCTGCCACTGAGCGTACACTTTCGCTGGTTGTGTTGCGAACAGCCGGTTTATTTGTCTGGCTTCGTTATCTCGTGTGTACCTCTTTAGGCGGCTGGCCAAGGCTTGGAGCCTTCGTTTGGCAGTTTCGAGTGCTTCAGGTATGGGCATCTGGTTGTACCTCTTGGGTACATGCTTTTTCATTGGTGTGTATATATATATATATATATATATATATATATATATATATATATATATATATATATATATATATATATGCAAGGCAAACGCCTAAAGATCAAGCTGCAAACATAAAAAAAAATCACAAGGAGGACTTGCAGTCCTAAACCTTAAACATATTTTTTGGCAGCTCAAATAAGACCTTTGATTGTTTGGATGCAGGACGTGTCTCACACTCATTGACTCCATATTGAAAAAGGTTTATTTGATTGCTCATTAGGGGCTCTGCCTTTCTCAAATGTTCTAATTAAAGATGTGTGGATGAGTGGGTGGACCAGAGTTATGTTGAAGATCTGGTGGAAAATAAAGCAGTGTTTGGTCTTCCAAACAAAATTTAAGTTTTTTCAAATATCTCCTCCCTCCAGGGCTGTCCCCTCATTTATTTAAAAAAAAAAAAATTCATTTACAAAACACAAATAATGAAAGAAATTTCTAGAACCCTCACTTTTTGAGGAACTGCTATTAAAGCTTCAACAGGGCTTTTGGCATTCCAAAAGCAATATGCCTCTTTTAAAGCATTTTCAGATTTTAATAATAATACTAAATACAAAAGGAAGATGGGAAACTGAGATTGGTACTCAAATGACTGATGAAAAGTGGGGAGATACTTGCACTGAAGCACACCTGGTGACAAATTCTGGTCTGTGGAGGGAGTTTAAATGGAAAGTCATCACAACATTTCTCAGGACACCAGAGATAACAGCAAAAATGAATCCTGTAAATCCTGAAACCTTTTGGCAAAACTGTGATTCTTACCTAGGAATTCATACTCACATATTCTGAACTTGTCCAAAGATTAGTCTATTCTGGAGTGATGTTTTTACAGCTCTCAGTACAGTATATTACTATATATACTGTATATATTATATAAGTATATTACTATTAAATTGTTGTTCCCTGATCCGCCCACTTATTATTTGATGGAGAGATCTGTCAGATGGAGCAAATCATTATTAAGACATCAGAGAGCTCTTCATTAAAGGATGGAGTCCCATGTTTACTCTATTATTCCAGCAAGCTTAGCCACTTTTTTTAGACTTTTATGATGATGTGGCAAGACCGGCTTTGAGGGTCTAGGTTGCGGGTGCTCTTACCTGGCGTTCCGTGGCGCTGCGCTGGTGGGCTATTTAAGCGCTCCCTTCTCAGTCGTTCCGCTTTTGGCTCACACGCTCTTTCGGGCCTCTCCTTGTGGCCGCTTTGTCCTCAAGCTCAGGTAACTTCCACTTCGTAAGTTCCATGCCCGCTACATCCAAATTTCCAATCATGTCTCCTTTTAGTGCCCCCTGTTTGGCCGCTGCTTGGCCGATGCTCCGCACCGCATCAGTCCCTCGGTCCTCCGAATCACGGAGCACGTAGGGCGCGCTTTCATCTCCGCCGACAAGGTAATGCACGCCCGATACTCCTCCACTCATTCATCCATGCCCATACTCTTACCGGTGTCTCTCTTTAGCTCCACGGGTGAGCCGAGTGAGTCACTCGCCATTGCGCTAGGCTGTGCGCCACCGTCCCTTAAACCGCGGCGGCAGGTAACCAAAACGCTACTACCACGTGCTACCTGTGCCAACCAACTCTCTAAATTGTATGTTTATAGCGTGTGCCGGTCCACGTTGTTTGGACCACGTCTGGACGCAGTTATTCTGTGTAAAGTTACCTTTGATTCAGCCTGGGGATTGCGGACTGTCACTCCAACCACGGTATGTGTTTAGCCCAGATCCTTGCACTGCAGGCTCAGATTTTAATCCCAAAACTTAACTTTCCAGGTGTCAGCGGGGGCCTGCAGCGGCGTGAGCACACCCTCTGCTGCTTTGCCGTTTTGTTTTACGTTTGTTTTGCTTGTTTTATTTAGCTATTTTGTTTTGCTTTATGTTTGCTTTGTTTGGTCTTGCTTGTTCTGTTTTGCTGTTTTGTTTTGCTTTAGTTTTCCTTTATTGTTTTGCTTGCTTTGTTTCACTGCTGTGTTGTTTGCTTCATTGTTTTGTTTTGTTTTACTCTTGCGCTGCTTTATTTTTGTTTTGTTTTACTTCTGGTTTTGGGGTTTCGTTTGGTATTTTCAATATTGTGCACCTATTCTCCCACTGTAGTGTTGTACTGTTTGCCTATTTTTATGGATGTAGCTACTTTTAAATAACCTAAAACTGTCTTTTAAAATGGAGAGAATAAAGATTGTGTAAATGACGGAAACTGGCTCCCTCTCCCTCAATGACATGCTTACTTGTGTGCCTTACATTTAGACTTTATTTCCCCAAACTAGATTTGGGGTGGCATTGTTGCAACAACTTATTATAAAACTTAACATTTCCCGGAGTGTTGAACCCCTCGGTTGCCACAATGATTTATTATTATTTTGTTTTATTTTGAAAAAAATCTGTCTTTTAGTTGGGATTCCCTGCCAAAATGTGAGTTATCTACTAGAATTGTGTCATAAAACAAGTTAAAGATTAAAAGCACAGGATGTTCTCTTCTGGTGTCTGGCAGATCAACTCTAAACCAAAACAGCTGGTTTAAGGAGTACTGTACAGTGCTTGTTGAGTAACTGAAAATAATTTATAGTAATCAGTTGTAGTGAGATTAAGGAAAGGGTCCCTTAGTTAAAAGAGGGGTAACTGATATTAAAGATTGAAATTTAAGAGTTCTAAGTTACAGCAGCACTCACGCGGCCTTTGTGAGTGTTTGGCTCTGACTAGAAGTAAATTTGGAGCACCACTAAACAAATGTTGAGAAATAT